GGAAAACTCGTGGTTGAAAACGCGCCTTGGTGCCGAGAGGGACCCGCTGCCCTCAGGAGCCCTGGCCCGCCGGGGTAGGAGACACTCGCGGTGTTTTGAAATCGACCTCTCAAAACAAGTATTCATCGTACCGGCATGTAAAAAGTGCTAATATATTAAAATGCAAATACGCGTGTATAGTCGGTAATGCTGTTGCGTGTTTCCTGTTTACCATGTTAATTAGAAGTTGGAAGGGAAAACTTCACCAGGAGTAATCCAGGACAGTATTTGACCCAGTAATGCTCATTGACTCATGCAGTGGCTTTTATAGTTCTGGGTTTTCTAGCCCCAAACACAAGCCAAGTTATTTCTTGAACTTCATTTGTGACAAATGTATTAATTGTAACACAACTTACACCTTTGAAACTATTCTTTACCAGCACAAGTGTCAAAACTGCCTTGGCCAGTATGGAGAGGAAAGTTAAATTCCCCACTCTTGTCTTTGTATGGAAAATTTTGATCAAGCTGTCTGTCCTCGGTCTTGGAGACACCAGGTTGCTAGCCTGTGTTATTTTGGGTGGTGTTAATTAATTGTGCAAAAGTTTGAGATTCAGGATGTATAATGCTGATATTGTAAGGCAAGATGAGTGCACTTGTAAACAAACATGCAAAAACATACAGAAGTATCTTGGGATTTTAGTTGGTTTCGAGGATTTTGTTTTCCTTTTTTTTAAAAAAAAAAAAAGCTAGTATTGTTCAGTAAGCCGGTTTGTTCACATTTGCTGTGTCCTTTTAATTTAGAGGTGATACTAATACAAACAATGTATTACAGAAACAATTTTGATATTAACCAGAGGTTTGTATGTTTGTTTGTTTTTATAGTCCACTTCACAATTTCCAGATTCTTCCAGAGAAGAGAATAAAAAGAAACCAGTTTTGGAAAGACTTGGAAATTTGTTTGGTACCGGAAAAAGGAAAAATGTCAAAAGTTCACTAGAACACACTTCGCATCAGAAAGGGGAGAGGTCGGTTTCTCCCCACAGGCCGCAGCCAATATTCTGTAGGCACCTAAAGGAAGGACACGAAGCTGCTCAAGTACAGACGCAAGTGAGAAGCACAGGTGCCGCTTCTGAGGCGCAGGAGTATAACTTCAGGGGGGAGGTAGGACCACTGTACTGCAATACTGTTTCAGAATGGAGTAGTAGGGGAGTCTCTTCTGACAGTGAGTGGTCAGCAGATTGGAGCAGCAGCAGTGAAACCATTAAAAACTCTTTCTTCGAGAGTAGCCTGAATGTGGAAACCCTGGAACCAGAGAGAGAATCCATCACAGATATAAATAATTCCACAACTCCAGATTTCATAAAAAGTTTGAGAAGTTTGTCTAGTGAAGACTTGGAAAAGAGTATCTTAAGCCACAAGGAGCTTGTGAACACGTGGGTGTCTGAGGAGCCTGAGCATGCAAAACCAAAGGATTTGCCATATGAGTTGGAATCCACAGTGAGTGAACACACACATCCTGCTAGAGTGTTAACAGTTGATATCTATCTAAGAAAAACAGACGAACGTCTTAATGAACCCGTGACTGTTATATCAGAAGAAAACCATAGTGACTTGGACACGATGGATAAAAAATCTGCTAATAAGAGATCTGGAAAAAGGAGAAAATCTCAGTCATCTAGTGACGCTCCAAATGGAGAGAGAAACCAGACTGAGGCTATTGTGAGAGAAGATTCTGTGTTTGAGGATGTTGTCCCTTTTGAGGGACATTATCTTTCCGACAAGATAATGAACTCCGAAAGAAAAGTTAAGTCTCCTCAACAGACTCCTGAAAGGAATTCCTCTTCCCCAGGTAACAGTCAGGACCTAAAATTTGGATCTGCTCACAAAGGGGTGTCTAAAACTGAAGCTGACAAAGGCAAGCAGCAGCTATTAAACACAACCCCTGCAAGGAGAAGGTCATATAAAAAAATTCAGTCAGATGCTGTCCCCAGTTCCCCTACTGGTTTGAAGAGTCAGGTAAAAGATTATTCCTCAAAAAAGCAACCTTTAGCATCACCAGAGGGTAACCCAATGACAAAAAGAACTTCAGTGGAAAAGGGAACTATACCTGTGGCTTTTGGGGAAGACAGCTTGGAGTCTCCTAAAGTTTCTTTGGCTGCCAAGACAGAAGATGCTGCCTTGGTGTTTCCTGAAGGCAGAAATGAGACCAGAGCAGTAAAGCACGGTAATGGTTCGGATGGAAGAGCTTTCTTGCATACTGATGGGATTAAAAATGGAGACCTGTGTATGTCAGCTGAGAGACAGACAAATTCTGATTTAGACAGCTTGAAGCTGAAGAATTTGGATGCTTCCAGAACAGTCACGACAAAGATTAACCTGTAAGTAACATGAAATAGTTTACCATATCCCAGTAGCTGTAATTTTGCCTTTGTCTGTGTTCAGGATTCTATAGGAACACTATGTATCTGTTATCTGTCTAGATTATCTTCAGTTAAGAACTGCCTTTACAAAAAAAAAGTCATAATTACAGTTACCACTAAACACACACTTGTAGTTTCCTTGTGTTAGAAAAATAGTTCTTTTTTCCATATTTTATGGATAGCGAATTTCTCTGTGTGCCAGTTCCATTATATGGAACAATTTAACATACATAAAAGCTGCTTTGTGGTCATTGTCAGTGCCCCTGTTGTTGTTCAGATGAGCTCAGCTGTCAGTGACCTTAATGTAGTTTTGCCATCTGTAGCCAACCAAGGGTGGAGAATCTTTGAGTAAGGAATGTGTTTGAGTTGTCCTTTGAAACGGCATAAATTCTGCTATTATTTTGTGAGGAAGCATAGACTGCAATGTAGAACCTGATCCTTCAGATGGTATGATAAATCACACTCCAGAAATTCAAATACATGTAGTTGCTTTTGTAAGTGTGTGCAGGACGAATCGTGATTTTTTTTTTTATCCATGTAACATCAGGCGTTTGCAGAATTATGCATATATGAATCTGCAGGATTGGTTTTTACACTTGAAGAGATTGTCACCTGTCTAAAAGGTGATCAGTGCTTTCTTTAGGATTGTACAGAAGTGCATGCATTTATGATTTTCACTGTAATCAGTAGTGTAAGTCCAGCAACTGATTTCCTGGATTCTTCTACATTCTCTTCTACAGGGAATTATTTTATTCTGTTCATCATTTCTGTTGTTTGATCGTCACAGGCATGTACTATGCACTGTCGCTTTCCTCCTCCTGGTTCATTCGTGTCTCTGACGTAGATGTTAGAGTACATTGGATCCTACAGGTCCACCTGGGGTACACCGAGTGTTCAGGATTGTCATTCAGTTGTGTCAGAGGGATGTGAAGGTTCAGTGTTATGGCCTAAGAAATGTGGATGTTTCCAATTATGGTTCCCATATCTGATAAACATAGGAGCGTTAGGAACTATTTCCTTTGCATGATTTGTAATACTCTGCATCTTATTTGTTAAATTGTTGTATTTTTTTACATGGTGATGCTTTGCTGTCTGGCAGTATACATCACAAATCTTAAACTCTGAAGTTTTTTATCTTCACAACTTCAAAGGAAAGGTAGCTTTCATGGTTTTCTCTTTGTGTCGCTGTCATTAGTCACAGTGTTGTACATGCTTGTGTAGCTGGATTTCATTTTTATGGCTGCCTCCTTGGCTGGCTGGACAGCAAGTTATCTTTTGCTGTACTCAAAGTAATAGACAGGTGTCCTTCCTGACAGATTACCTTTTAATGAATGAACAGCCTGTTCCTTTTCACCTGATTTTGTGGGGTGTGTGGCACTCTGTGTCTTGGTCTTATCTGCTGCTATAGGAACTTTAGCCCTGGGTGGGGACCGATGTGTTGCATGCAAGGTTCCTGATGTATCTGATAGCTGTCATTGCACGGTACCATGCCACTTTTTTCAGACAGACAAATTGATATGGTCAGATTACTGGCTGTAATTTGTAGTCACTCATGAGAACAGATGAACTATAAACCTGGATATGGATTAAGCTGCGATAAAACGGGAAGGGAGAAGGTGGTGCCATTTCTAGAAGATAGTGTGTTTTTGTTTTCTCCTTACTGCTTTGAACTAGAGAACAGATAACTTTTCCATTTTCAAAGGCTGAAAAAATTATGTACTTCACATGAATCCCTTTCAGGTTATTCACAGACTTGTTTGCCTCCTGTAAGATTGATTTTGTATAATCAAAGTAGTTTACACTTAAGAATGCATAATGTCTCTTACTGATGACATGCCAATTCTGGGAATCAAGTTTCTTTAGGAACAATTTAAAAAGAAGTTGGTTTCGCTGGTTCCCTGCAAGTGATGGTAGCGTTTTCTGTCTTTTTTCCTTCTATGTCTGTGTACTGGACAGCTTGGAAGTCGCAGGATGTTTGTTTCTAGCTTTCACAAGGGCAGGCTATCAGGTTTTTGACTAAACTGAGGTTGTTGGCACATCTTAATCAGCGAATAAATAAAACCTCAGGCAGGGGGTACTTTGATGTGCTTAGCAGAAAACTTGGTTTCAGTTGTCATATTTGATGTTCAGATGTGGTTTTGTAGTTGCCTTTGCATTTATGCCCACACATTGACTTATTCTGCTCTGTTAAGATGCCACTTTTCTTTGCTCACCTCAAACTGATGTTTTTGGCATCAACGTTTTTTGGCATCAGTTACATGCTTGACATGGTCGTTTGGACAGTATGCCTCAACTCTGTGACTCACCTTCCGTTTATGACTGTATGGGGAGAGGTTTAACTGCGTGCTTCCACAGGTTAGCAGCAAGGTGTAGCTGAAGAGGAGGCCATCAGGATTTCTCTTGTGCCTCACAATGGGCAGCAGGAACCAGCCACCCTGGGCTGCTTGTAAAAAGCGTTTGCGCTGTCGAGTGCATCCATCTTTCAATACTCCTCTCCCGTATTAGAGAGGAGGCTTAAAGGATACTCAGAAACATCTACTTCTAAACAAGCTTAGCAGCTTGGTTCGTGCAATAAGACGTCTCTTTTGGCTGTATTTAAAATCAGTGTTTCTTCTTGTGGAAGAAGCTGTAATGAAAAGATGAGTTAGAGGAGGGCAGCTGTAGTGGACGGAGCTCCAGGGCTGAGCTTTCTGTTGTTCCTCAGTCTCAGCTGTTGTTCTGCTGCTGGGCAAAAGTACTGCAGAATGTGAAACACAAAGTGCTGAAGCAGTTGCTCCTGCATAAATTTGCCAAGTTTGAAACTATAGCTTTTAGGTGTTAGCTGTTAATTTAAAACAAGTTTTGGGCGTGGCTGTTAACTGTCAGTGCTAACCATTAAACTTGCTGTGTCAAAGCATGTGGAGAAAGAAGGATTGTATTAGGAGGACACATGTTGTTATGTTGAAATGCATGTAGTAGTGCAAGTTACATGTTGACAACAGGAGATTAACAGAGAAATGAATGTGTTAAGATAACCGTGCTGTTAGCAATACCTCTTGAAAATACAGGTAGAAGAAGAGGTTAAGAACCTTCTTCTGATAAGAAAAAGACATGAAAGGTCCTGGTGAACAGCAGTTTCAGTATCAAGGGCATTATATGAAGTTGTATCCCTCCCTCCTCTTCCCAGCTCTCTTCTGGTTCAAGAGGGATGTTCACAAATTGGAGTGAGTCCAATGGTGATTAGGAAGATGGTGGCAGTGGAGCATACCACATATGAGGAGAAGCTGAAGCAGTTTCATTTAACTGATAGAAGAAAAGGGTATGGGCAGACTTCAATAATTTCTGACAGAGATCTACAGAGGTATCAGAGAGAAGGCAGAGCCATATTTGTCCCTGTGGTGTGCAGTAAAGGGACAATGGCCATTCTACCACCCTCCACCTTTCCTTTCCCTCCTCCACAGAGCAAAAAGGGAAAGGAAAATAAGATGGAGACAAAACCCTTGTGAGTAAAAACAAAGGCAATTTAATGGAAAGCAAAGCCAAGCAATGCCGCACGTGGAAGCGAAGAGGGGAAAAAACCCGAAGGTTTATTCTCTTTTTCCCATCAGCAGGTGATGTCCGGCCCCTTCCTCGGAAGCAGGGCTCCAAAACATGTAGGAGTTGCCCCAGAGGACTGAGGAGTAGTCATCCCCCCCCTCTTTGTACTAGCTTTTGTACTAGCTTTATAGTTGAGCTGATGTCATATGGTATGGAATATCCCTTTGTTCATTTCAGGTCAGCTGTCCTGGTCATGTTCCCCCCAAGCTCCTGCTCCCCCTCCCCCCATCCCATTGTGGGGGGGAATGTTAGAAAGAGCCTTGGTGCTGTGCGAGCACTGCCCAGTGGTAGTCACAAGATGGGTGTTATCAACACCCTTCTAACTCCCAGCACAAAAACACTGCACCAGTAGAGCTGCAATGGGAAAATCGGCACAGCCAGAACTATTACAGGGTTATAAGGCAAAAATAATTCACAGTTACAGTGGCTGACCTGCTGCAGTGCTTCCCTAGTAAGGTTGTGAAATCTCAGCGCATGGAGATGCTCAGAACGTGGTCAGACAAAGCCCTCAGCAACTTGATCTAACTTTGAAGCTGTCCCTGCTTTGAGCAGGAAGTTGTACAAGCTGAGCTTTAGAGGTCCATTGCAACTTAAGTTCACTTTACAAAAAGAAAAATCGTAGAATAACTTTGAAAAGTTTAGGGAAAGTAGTCCCACTGCAAATTAAAAGTAGTGTGTAAATATATTTAATTTCATGCTGTGTGATAGTTCCCACCCTACCTTCCCCCTTTCAGGATTAATTTCTTTCTATTTCTAGACTTAAAATTTCCAAGTGTGTTTTATTAGCACATATCTGAACTCTGGGCAGTCACTTTTAAATTAACTATTTCCTTTTTTATTGTTCACCTGCTCTTCCTAAGAGCCTTCCAGTTATGAACCAACATGAGCAGGCTGATAGTTAAAGTGAGCACTCCTGGGAAGTCTTCTCCAAACAGATGTGGTGAATTTTAATAGTTGCTTTCTGTATAGATTCTGAATTCCATTTACTACTTCAGTAAGTTTGCTACACATGCTTTTCCCAAGAAAAGAAGTCTGTGCAGTGGAGAATCTTGCTTTAGTAGGGTTTACTGTATTAATGGGGATGGATCTCTTGAGGAAGAGGAGAAAGGTGTAATCTCAGTTGTTGGGTCATTGATGCCAACTCATTTGTACTTCACACTTCCTTCTTGGGCTAAAGAGCTGTCTGAGAGCTCAGCAAACATAACTTGTCTCAGTGGAAAAAAAACAAAAAAAAACAAAAAAAACCAAAAAACACTTAAATACAGAATCATCCGTTGTTTGACAGAGCATTTGAAGCCCTGGAGACTGTTGCCATAAGCTAGTTTCTTTTATCTCCCATCATTGTTTTCATGTGATGCAGTTTCTGCCTGTTCTCCCACTGCTGAGTGTCTCCGGGTTCCTTTCTGCAGAACAGGTCTGCCCTTGAGGTGGTGGTGGGCTCCTTGACACTCCATATATCTGACTGATGAATTTTGAAGACATGTGCCCTGCATCTTCACAGCTGTTCATACTGTTCCTGCAGTAGCAAGTGGCATGGACAAATGCTTTTTACTGGATGTAGGTATTCAGAGGAAGGAGGCTTAGAACTCTGGTCTGCCTGTTGTTAACCTTCTGCTGTAGTACATGCTATGTACTTGTATGTGCTTCTCTGTCCACTCTGATGGACAAGCTCCTGTGCTCCCTAGTTCAATTCTTGTAAAATCAGCAAGGTTAATTTACACAATTTAAATGATTATCTGACTTCACCTGAAGGAAATGGGAGAGTCCACACACAGTGTTCATTTAGCCAAGTGCTGGTGCTGTGACAGGGGACAGGTACTCTTCCACCAGCACTAATGAGGCCAGAAGAGGTCCTTCACTCCATTTAAGGTTGCTTCTGCAGTGTAAGGGCTGCAAAGAATCTGGGCAGATATCTTCAAAAGTTGTTGGAAAGGTATATTCAAATGTTAACCAACTCATTATCACCTTAATGAATTGGGATTTGTTTCCTAAACTCTGAAGGGAATTGCATGCATATAATTTATTCTGCCTGTTCACTATTACATTTTAATATCTGTCATTCATAAGTAGTTTTCTGCCTTAATGGCAGATGCTGTCAGCTGCTGCTTTTTGTTTTATTGAGCATTAAAGAACTACATAATTGTCAAAAATGTATTCACCTTGTTTAGTGTTTCGGGGGTTTTTTTTGGTGATTCATGTAGTTTCTCCTTTTTTAGTTAATTCCTTTTGAGATACCAAAATTTAAACTGAATGTGACTATGGAAAATTTCACTGTAATGCTACCTTTTGTAGGTTTGAAAATTGTTACAGGTCTTTTCAAGATTAATCACAGATGTAACTCTGTATCACTTTCCCTCCTGTAGTCCAGCCAAACCGAAGAGTGTAGAGCTGAATTTTAAATCTACAAATCAAGACAATTTAGAAGGTGATCAGGATGCTCATGAAAGACCAGTTAATAAAACTAACAGCAACATTGCCAACAAAATTTCCTTGTTTGAAAATAAATGTGCTAACCAGAGCCAAAGGCCTGCTGATGTTCCTTCTTCAAAAACTAGTACTGTACCAAGCACGTTTGTTGGCAGAGCAAAGCTGAAATTTGGAAAACAACTGAAGGAAACCGAACAACCTGATAAAACATTAAATAAGCAAAGCAGTCACCTGAAGTTTTTTGAAAATGGTGCAGCAGAGAAAGAAAGCACTGCAGAATTAAAAGGAAAAACTGAGGAAGGCTCTGCCTGGTATGAGGATACTGGGAAGACAACAGACCTTAAAGTAAAAGCTGCAATATCCCTTTTTAACCAAGGTAGCAAGATTTATGCTGGTGGTGTCTCTCTGAAGCAACCCGATCCAGAAGTGACCATAGCTAAAAAAGAAAATTCATCCTTTAAACTGTCTTTGCACTTGCCCACTAAAAGTGAAAATGCTCAAGATACTTCTTACCAGAGAAACAACACAAGCTCAGAATTCCACAGAAATGAAGAAAAGATACTGCCAAACACAGAGGTTTTATCACCTTGCAATGATGATAAATACTCTCTACCATCTCCTCAGATTTTTAGGTCAGAATTTAAGAAGGTAGAAAATGGAGATAAAAAGGCAAAGCCAGGAGATTTGAGCTTTGCAGCATTACAGTATGATGACAGTGGTCAAGACAGTACCTTGTTATCAGAGCACAACATCAGTGCACAAAAGAGCCCGGGTGAAACCTGTAATGGATCTGCTGAAGAAGATGACAGCATTTTTGAGTCCCCATCTGACATGAAGAAATTTGCTGAAACGATAAGAAACTTGGACAGCTCCATTTGTTTACCCCAGAAAAAGAAGAGATCAAAGCTTCCCAAGTCCCCAGCACCCCACTTTGCAATGCCACCCATTCATGAAGACAACTTAGAGAAAGTATTTGACCCTAGTGTATTTACTTTTGGTTTGGGACTGAGGAGGGAAAAAACGCAGGATCTGCTACCAACTCAACAAATTAAAATGCAAAGCCTGGAAACGATAGCCAGAGTCAGGCCCAAGCGTGCATCAACAGAGCAAAGTATTATATTTAAAGCCCTGCAGTCATGTAATAGAGAGGAACCTGCCATTACTCAGGAAATAAATGGAAAAGAGAACATTGATGGTACAGATGGTGAGATTAAGAGATCCCGACTTGAAAAAAGCTCCCTGTTCTCAAGCTTGCTGTCTTCTACATCTAAAGAGAAGTTTTTAAATCCTTCTGTCACTTCAGTAAACAACACTGCAACAACTTTCACAGCGGACTCCTCGGGAATGCCTCCTTTACAACAGGATGCTTCTGGATCTTTTGGCATGCCTCAAAAATCTGAGGTAATAAAGATCATTCATTAGATGCAACCGTGTAAAATTTTGCCTACCTCCTGAATGGCTGTTAATTTTCATTTTGCAATTCAGTCTCTTTCAGATATGAAGTTGCCAAGTTTTGTGGAGAAGTACATGCAAGCAGATAGTGCAAAAAAAGAACTAAGTTTACAAATGCCGAACTTCGGGAACACCGAGAAAAGTTTTTCCAGCTGGTTAGGGACAAGCAGATATGAATCAAATGTCCCCGCTGGCTTGTTAGATGTGGATGTAAGTATTGTGTTGTTGAAAATCTGCCTGGAAATTTATGCAGCCTCTATATTTTCTATAGGTGATGTGCATGTATGGTTTTGTTTGTTTGTTCCCCTCTTAGGGACATATGTAGATAACAAATACATAGAGGTGATTGTAGGTATGATATTGGTATGGTGTTGGCTACTCGTGAAAGTGAGATGGCAGCTATTAACATGATTATGTTTACTCATGGTGCCCTTACTTTGAGACTCTTAAGAAACATTAATTGAAAGTATATGTTTGAATGTCTTCATACTTGATTTTGTATTATTTTGAAACAGATCTCATGCAAACTTTATTTCATTGTTGTAGATGGTAGAACGCTTTCTGTGTACTTTGGAAAATTTGTGCCTGCTTCTTCTCTTGACAGTAATCACTCTTCTCTTCCAGGAAGACATTCAGGCATTGCACTGTTAAATGAGTAAAAGGGCAAACCTTTTTTTATCCCTCTGTTTTTGTTCCCAGTATTCCCCATATGTGATAGAAAATTATATATTCTTTAAGAATACTCTAAGAACTGGATAGCAGTGTTGTTACATAACCTTTGTCTGGTTGTAAGCATCTGTTCATCATGAGCAAAGACAGATTTGTGTTTTCCCTTCAAGGCTACTTTACCCTAATGTGGGAGAACTTCATAAGTTTCTGTTTTCTGGAGGCACTTGTTGTTACCTGAGAGGAAAACTGTAATTGGGAGATCTAAGAATCATGGGAAGAAATACATTCTCCTAAGTTTAATAGCCACATTAATGTGACCTGTGGCAGCATATAAGAAATTTGATAAATACTTTTCCAAATCTAATGTTTATCTGCTGTTACAGTTCCACTAAAAGGAGTGGGGGAGTAGTAGACTTAACTCCTTTTTTCTTCCCCTTGCAGAAGAAAATCATCTGTGGTATCTTGCAGTTTTGAGGATGTAGATTTTTTTTTTTTTTTCTCTCACAGGAATTTTTTTAATTAGTGTGAGGAGGAAAATTAGGGGGTTTATTTGCAGTGGTGTAGTCTTGTGCTACCAGTTAAAAAAGCTTCCTTACTCTGGATGGTGCTGCTTGGATTTCAGAACCTGACTTTAAAGCAAGATGACTAGTACTGATTTATTTATTTATTTATTTATTTTGTTAATTGCTACTTGAGCTGTTGTTCCAGAGTGGGTTTCAATTTTTCTGTAGAGTGTGGAGGCCCAATATGGTGAGGGGTTATGTACGCATGTAAGACTGCTCTTGACAGAAGCCTGTTAGGCTCTGAAAGGTTCCAGCACTGTTGCTGCCTCTGAATTGTCTTGCTCAACATAGACGGGAACTGAAAATGTTTGTGTGATGTATACCTACTGTGCATCTTCCACTGGCTAAGAGAATGATGATGCAATGGCTACTGGGTCATGTGAAGGGAAAGAATAAGGGCAGCCCAAAACAATGACTTTGGCATTCCTTAAAACACGGAGCAAGTTCTAACTGGAATTGAAGCACAGGCCAAAAAAACCAGTCATGCTTCAACATGTCTTGATGCCTACAAAAATCTGATGGTGGTTAGGAGCTCTGTCCTGAGACCACTGCCTGCCCTGTGTGCTGACTAATATGTTCTTATGAGTTCTTTGTTGTTGCTGGCTATCTTAGACTGCAACCTATTTAGGGGCAAGGTCTGTTTGTTTTGGGTTTTTTTTTCATATGAATAATTCCATGAAGAGCAGGACCCTGTCCTGGAACGAGCACTCCTGTCCTTGCTAGGAAACCAATCATGTAGTTGCAACGCTTGCTTTATTTGTTTTAAGGTGACATGATGCAACCACAACTTCCCCATATACTCTCTATCATATAATTTACCACTGACTTACAGCATTGTTTTAGGTTTTGTATTCCTCGATACCTTTATTTGTTCTTGGCATCTTTAGTCTATCATTTCTTGCACTGAGTCTCATGCTTTTTGAAGAAACCTATCTTGTTATGAGGTGTTCAGCACAAAATTAACTGTACTTGGTAGTTCATTGTCACGGTTTAGGGTCAGGGCTGCACCAGACCTGTAACAGATGCTCTCTGTTAACCCCTTTCCCCTCAAAAGGGGCAGAAAAAGGGAATAATGGAAAGAGACTTACTGATTAAAAAAGTAAAACAGCTTTAATGAAAATACTATTACTACTACTTCTAATAAAATGGAATATGTACAGATGTATATACAAAACCAGTGTCAAACCCGGTTCCCCCCGATGGCAATATGTCACCCTTGGTGCTGGGGAGCAGCCCCGGGGAAGAGTCCCAGGCTGGACTCCTGGGAACAGGAGCTGGATTCGGGAAGTTGGTTCAGGAACACACAGCTTGGGATCAGAGGCAGAATGGATTAAATCCTCCTTGGATGCTGGCCATTGAAGGAGCAGTGAAAGTGAAGAAGGAAGGTCTTGACCCTCGTGATCCTTCAGCTTTTATACTGAATATGGTGGATATGGGATTGAATACCCCAGTGGTGAATTTAGGGTCACTTATCTTGTCTGCTCCTCCCTGCAGGTGCGGCTTTACTATCTGCCCTCCTCCATGTGGTAGACAAACTTTTGCAGTGACCTTGGTCTACACACCAATCCTTGGTGGTAACTGTAAACGTGGAGCGTTATCACTGCTAGAAGCAGACACTGTCTGCGAAAATATGCTGTTAAATTCAGACAGTGCAGTTAGTTAGAAGAGCTCTAGCTGAAAAGTAAAATCACTGAACAGAATTAGCACTGTCCTACACCAGACCAAGACATTCATACGTGTATATGCATCAGGCCACCTCAGTCTTTTCATATATTCCTTCAAAATTATCTTATTCTTTGTGATTACCAGACATTCAAACTTTCATTAATATCTGTCATTGTAGAGCATGTACTTTATTAATGCCAGTTTTTTAAATAGTCTCTTGGTATGAAATTCCTGGAAATAAAAGAAGCCAATCAGAACAACTTAAAAGTGTGTCAAGTCTGAGGTTAGTTGGCTTCAATGAGATGATAATTCAGTTTTAAAAAGTGTTTAAATCTGTACATTTGTGGCAAGATATTGCTCTTCAGAAATAATTGACTCAATTAAGTATGTGTAGTTGAAGTGTTATCAGCTTATCACTATTGAGGCTAATTTTTATTTTGTTTCACCAGCTCTTTTTTTTTTTTTATAGCTAAACATCTTTATTGAACACATTTTCATTTGATTATGGGGTTTTTGGTTTTGTTTTGTTTGTTGGAGTTTTTTTTGGTTTGGTTTTTTGTGTGTGTGACTTTTCTCTCCCCGCTGTCTGTTAGGCACTTTCAAGAAATGGACAAAGTAAAATCAACCCCAGACCTGGCAAGGTAGGGTCAATTTTATTATCTTTACTGTTCATCTCTATTTGTAAAGCATAGCAAGATAGAATTATATGTTGGTGCTGTTTGTTTTGTGGTTTTTGTTGTTTTTTTTTTTAACACAGCTGGTGATATACTGTGAATCAGACGATGAAAAAAATGGTATTGAAGTTTTCCATGATGTTTTGGATTGCAGTTCTTGGGTTCTGTCACCAAGAATCTTAGTGAAAGTCATCAGAGGATGGTAGGACATTAATTTTTATTCTGTATCACTGGTCTCTCAAAAAATCTTTTTAAACATAACTAGCATGTAATCCACAGTAAGTCTGTGTTGCAAATGACAATGTAATGCAGACACCTGTGAGCAAGAAATGTGGTATTTTACCTCTACAACAGGAAGTTCTAGGCTGGGAAACTTATTTTGCTGACAAGTTGAGTGAGTGTTACCAACTGGAGGGGTGCATCATTTCACTGGGCATGGGTGTGGGGTGAAATGACAGATTCTGTCCAGCTATGCTGCCATTTAACTCCTTTCCCTTTTGTGGGTTCTTGCATAGCATTTGGATTGACTAAAAGGCTAGCAGAGGGTTTTAAAGCCAAGTCTGACATGAGTTTGGATGCAGAAGATGAATTCCGTGTCCAAAGGTGTATGGTGTTGCTGCAGAGATAATTGGCTGTTTCTCTGATCAGCCCAGAGGGAATTTTTCTCCAAAAGCTAGATTGCCTAAGAATAATTCAAAACAAGTTCATCTCCATCATCTTTCATAGTATTAACAGAAGAGCCATTGTTAATATGCATAGCATTGTATGTTAAGTTGTGGCCAGGCTATAATACAGTTAAATAGCAGGTTCTCAGAAGTAATGATCAGTATCATTATGCTGCAGAAATAATGGCTAGCTGCAGTAGGAGGTACTGATTGCTGTTTAGCCTTGGAAAACTTAAATGAAAATATTTTGATCTGTGTGAACTGTTTCTTCTTTTCCAGCACAGACTAGGGGCCTGGGGGTCCCTCCCACTCCACCTCTTAACTGAAAGCTGCAGGGGAGGGTTTTATATTTGCAGATGGGTATAGTTTTTTTTATCTAGTCATATTTTCAAACTTGCCATTAAAAATAAAGTTGCTTGTCTTCTGAGCATTCTTATCATCCTTTGGCATATCTATACTAGACCCTGTGGAGCTCTAGGCTGTTGTTCACAGGTTCCTAGTAGCATGTCTGTGTATACACAATGCAGCAGACTGCAGTGTCAATGTTTTCTGTCCTCCAAATTGGTTCTGATTAGTATCTCATGCAAAAGTCTGGTATTCATAGACAGTAGGCTTGCTGCCCCAAATCATCAATTTGAAAAGGTGGAGGAGTTTTTGGTAAAATTACAAAGTCAGCAGTAGGCACCTTTGGTTTTATCATTGCTTTGGAAAGTATCACAGAGACCAGAAATGGCTGCGTCAGCAGTGTTGGGCAAATAAACTGTATTGGGGTGGCAGGAAGGGTCTGGAAATAATACTTCATATGAAAGTATCTGTTCAATGGGAATGTGATTTTTGCAGATCACACTTGGTTTTAGTGGTGCTTTATCAATTATTTTTTGTTTTAAGCTGGATACTCTATGAGAAACCAAATTTTGAGGGCCCTTCTATTCCCCTGGAAGAAGGAGAGCTGGAACTCCCAGATATTTGGGGTTCAGGTACTTCTGAAGAGCAAAATGAATGCCAGTCTACAAAGCCTGCAGTGATTGGTTCAATAAGACATGTTGTTAAGGCAAGTAATATAAGTAAAGAGAATTTTATGGAGATCTTAATGTTTGGTGATGTTTCATACTGATACAAAGTGAGAGTGGTGTATTACACAAGTGTAACATGAGTTGTAAATGCATGGAGCAGTCTTACATACTGAATTTCTTGTTTAATCACAGAATAAACGTGAGGGCTTTTAGAGTGGGCCTTATGGTAGCATTCACTAAGGCAGGAAAGGCAGGGCAGAAAGAAAACTTAGTGGTTTTTATTAGAATAACCTTCAAAACGCTACATCCAGCATACGCTTTTTAGCCTTGTCAATTTTTTGGGGAAAAAACATCCCTGAAAACCATCAGTAATTTCACAGACTACAATTTTCAAAAGATGGCTTTTTGTTTTTCTTAGAATATAAACCAAATTTACACCGAACACAAGCTTTTGTGTCAAACACGAAGCCTTGTTTGATACTCCAAAAAATAGCTCTGTATGCTCAGGCTTTCCAGGGAGCTTCACACATGGAGGAGCAGCCTTCCTATGTGCGCTTTTAACCTACCATTAAGTAGTTACCTTTGAAGGTTGCCAAAACAAGCATGAACTACAAAGTTACTTGACTAGGAGAGGGGAAAAAGGAGGAGTATATATTGCTTGTAACTACAATTCTTGTTTAAATTGCTGTTCTCTTCAGGAGCGGCTTGCTTGGTGTTATCTTAGGTTTTAATTTGCTAGAGGAGATGTTAACTGATGAAAGAAGATGTATTCCTGCCTAGATGGCAGAAAGTAAACAATGTAAATGCTGTTCAGAGGTTGACTGATTGTATTGGTCCAAACAGACAGGCAAGCTGGTGTAGTTATACTTCTATAATAGCCATCTAATAGCAGTAGTAATTGACAAGGGGACGACGACGACAATTTAAAATAAGCAGGTGTTTCAAAACCGATTTAGCTACCCACATTAATTACAGAACTCATGGCAGAGATGAAGTGATTATGGCAATCTTCGTTTTTCAGGATTACAGGGTCTGCCGAATTGATTTGTATACAGAACCTGAAGGGCTGGGGATCGTGACTTCCTTTTTTGACGACACTGAGGAGACGGGCGTGTTCGGCACCACTCAGAAGACGTGTTCTATCAAAGTACACTGGGGCATGTGAGTGCGTGGTTCTGTGTGGACGTCTGCTGCTATGGGAGGAATTTGTTCTAAACCATTGGTTACACCTGTCAGACATGCAAACAGACTAGACTTATTCAGTCCTATATTTTGGTAGGACTTGTTGACACTAGCATTAGTACATCATTGTAATGCTTCACTCTTGGAGAGGCTGACTTCATAAAATGTGTTGTTAGAGTCAGTTTTTCTTCTGCTTGCATGTAATAAAGACAGAGTAACCCTTGTGCAGTTGTAGCAAAGGAATGAGTTTCTCTCCTGCTCTTCTCATTCAGGCAAGGTTACTGTAAGTGAGAGGATGAACTATTATGATAAGACCACGTTTCCTACTTGCTTTCCTCTAAACTTGAAATCTTTGAAAATTTTCTTCTTTTAGTATAAGCCCTAGTGGTACAAAGTGATACTTAGTGTCATGTGTCAACTCTGGAAAGCATTTTTGTTTTTCCCAGTGCATTTTAATTGTGTTTTTATGGTGAAATTTAGGACATGTATGTTATGTCACCTGAGAATATCTAGACATCTGAGTTAGGAGTGTGTAAAGTATGTCATGAACTAAGTGGGCTTTTATGAAAAAGGAGACCTTTAAGAAGCAATCCATATACTGTATCAATGGTAGTTTTGATACCTTAATCAACAAACTTGTAAATCAGTACTGAAAATATACTTCAAAGTGGTATTGGAAAAAGTATGCAGAAAAGTGAGGCTAGTTTTGGAAAAAAGTGAGAGGGGAACCACTTTCAATGATACTGGGTACTGCATAACATTTTACAGGGTACAGACCTTAGGTGTTCCCTGTTGGTCGTGTTGTTCGAGCACTGATAGCATTTGTCTTGCTGCGAATGGTCTATTTAACTGTCAAAAACTGCCCAGTTAAAGACAAGTGTTAAGTTCCACTGCAAAGATATATTCAAATGTGTCACATGATAGACGGGCCATTTTAGTTGTTAGGTAAAGGATATTTTTATCTGATGAAGTCTTTACACCCTGATTTGGGGAAAAAATGAAGCACTTGGGTATATAGGGAAATTTTAAGATGTCCAAATAGTTGTTTTCTCTGACAAGCAGTTATTCCTATTGAACTTCGAGCTTAATCCAAATTACATGTTTGCCAAAAATAATGAAATCAGATGTTAAATGTTTATTAATTGACTTCATCTACCTTGCTACTTTATTTCTGTCTCTCACTTAAAAGTGTTCTGTGAACAGTGAAATTTCCAGAAAATTTTAAGGAAACGGAGCCAGACTTCAGACTGGTCCTTATTTTGCATGAGCGTGACAGCATTTTTTGCACTATGTCTGTGCAAGCTCTTACAGTCTTTTCATTTCTCACTGTTGTATTTGGATCCCTTGAGGGAAGGCAGACTAATATTTGCAACAGGAAGCAGAATAGACAGTAAAAAAATAATCTTTCAGATGTCATTTCATTAGTCCAATGTAGAAGGAAGTCGATTCTGCCAATTGCTTGCATGAGAAATTCAGTAAATTGCTTCATTTTTGCATGTTGGAGGGTTTCTTTCTTTCCTTCAGTTTAGTCATGGCATAGTTGGCGGTATTGGCAGTTGAGGGAGGCTCTGATTCTGAGTCATCTTGCCGTGTGGGTGTGGTTGTATCTTCTTAAAGTTTCCCAGTGTTCACGCTTAATTGTTGTTTACTAAAAGCTGCCAACAAAAATTAGTCAATGCACCTTTATCTTCTGATTGCACTCTCTCCTTGGTCTTCCATGTGTTTAAGTTCTTGTAGTGAAGTTAGAATTACAGAATCATTTAGGTTGGAAAAGGCTTTTAAGATCATCATCCACCTATTAACCAAATCCACCACTAAACCATCTCCCCAAGTGCTGCATCTGCACATCTTTTAAATGCTTCCAAGGATGGTGACTCCACCACCTCCCTGGGCAGCCTGTTCCACTGCTTGACAATCCTTTCAGTGAAGAAATTTTTCCTATTATCCAACCTAAACTTCCCCTGGTACAACTTGAGGCCATTTCCTGTTGTCCTATTGCTTGTTACTTGGGAGAAGAGTCCAACATCCAATTACAACCTCCTTTTGAGGCGTTGTAGAGGATGATGTGGTCTCCATTCAGTCTCCTTTTCTTCAGACTAAATAGCAGTTCTCTCAGCCGCAACTCATAAGACTTACGCTTTAGACCCTTCACAAGCTTCATTGCCCTTCTTCATGCTCCAGAATCAGTGTCTTCCCAGTAGTGAGGGATACAAAACTGATCACAGTATTTGAGGTGAAGCCTCACCAGTGCCAATCACTTCCCTAGTTCTGCTGGCCATAATATTTCTAATACAAGTCAGGATGCCGTTGGCCTTCTTGGCCACTTGGGCACACTGCTGGCTTATATTCAGCTGGATGTCAACAAACACCCCCATGTCCTTTTTTGTGGAGCAGCTTTTCAGCCATTCTTCTCCAAGCCTGGGGTTGTTGTGACCCAAGTGCAGGACCCAGCACTTGGCCTTGTCGAACTTCATACCATTAGCCTTGGCCCATCAACTTAGCATGTCCACATCCCTCTGCAGAGTCTTCCTAGCCTCAAGCAGATCGACATTCCCGCTCAGCTTGCTGTCATCTGCAAACTTACTGAGAGTGCACTTGATCCACTCATCCAAGTAATTGATAAAGATGTTAAATGAACTGGCCCAGTGCTGAGCCCTGGGGAACACAACTTATGACCGATCATAACTTGAGGCTTACTGAGTGGTGGGACTACAGGACACAAAATACATCAACTGTTTGGCAATAAAACTAAAACTACTTGTTTTTTTTTTTTTTTAAGGGAATTGTATGTCTGCAGTGAAACTTTACCAATTTGTGCTAGTTTACATCAGCTTGGAATTTGCCTTTTAGGCATGATAGAGTGAGGATTGTTCTAGCATCTTTGTGATACCACCGGATTTGTCCATGATGATCTTTACATGTGTGACAAACAAAACGTTGGTTTGCGACAACATGATTAAAGGGTCAGCTGCATAAAGTGTTCTGGAAGACTGCTGTTGCTATCCCAGTCGGGAATTTTGAAAGTTAGGTCTTTCAAAGCAGATTTATTAGCAGATAGAAATCTACTTCCTCATGTTTTTTTAGGAGTTGTCAGGTGTTTCTACGTATTAGTAAGTAACAGAGGTTCAGAATTTTCTATTGAACAGGTTCTGCAACAAATCCAACTTTAGGCTAGGAGTGGTCTTTCAACTTCTTGAAAATTGGTTCTACATTTTTTAAAAATATTCTAAAAATAATACAAAGTAACCTTAAGTCTTGAAATTTCAGTCTAAAACTTGTGTTGCCTTCAGTAAGATAGTGTAGTCCTTAACTGTCTGCTCATTGCACTGATTCTTTTTATTTTTTAAGCCTGTTAAAACAAAACACTTGTGTTATTGAGGATTCCTGCACAGGCACAGAATTTTGCCAGTATGCCAGCTTGTAGTTGGCGGGTTTGGTGGTAAAGCAATGAAGTTTTATTAAGGGAACAATGGTGTCTTTTCTAAAGGAAGCATATTGTCTTGTTTGTTACTGTTCAGAAATGTTCTGGGTTTTTATCTTTTGCTTTCTTTCCCCTGCTCCGCCCATCTTTAGATGGCTAATTTATGAAGAACCTGGTTTCCAGGGAGTCCCTTTAATGTTGGAGCCTGGTGAATATCCTAATTTAGCGTTCTGGGAGAAGAAGGAAGCCTACATTAGGTCCATGAGGCCCTTGAAAATGGTAAAGTACCGTTACAAGTTTCGTGACCTGTGTTTATGTGATGAAAAATCCATCCACCTTAACACATTATTTCTAAGACTTACAAAAATGTAACCCTTTAAAAACCAATGAACTTTCAACATGTGATTGCATCCATTTCTGCCTTTAATTTGCCTTCTTATTTTCACTTATGTTCTTTAAGGGAGGTTGAATCTTCATTCTGCCTTTTTGTGATTATTATTACAGTTGTTTATAAGTTGTCTAACTAAATATAGACAATTTTTTTTTTTTTTCTTATCAGGGTGGTCGCAAAGTTGAATTCAGTAGAGAGCCAAAGGTAAAAGTCAATATTTACTTGTTTGTCAAAGTGCATGGGTTTTTTGGTTTTTTTGGGGGTTTTTTTTTACTTATGAACTACACATGGGTAGATAAATAGATCTTGGTCACAGTGCCACTTACTGATGGTTTAGTGGCCGGTCCTACTGTATGTGACCACACCATGAAACTGCAGTTTCTGTCACATTTATGCATCCATCACATACATATATGACAGCATTGTCTGGATAATGTAGATGGGCAATGAACATTTAAACATTCACCTTGCATCTCTAAGAGAGTTCTTGAGAATATAGAGATCTCACCAATTAGTTTCGTAATCTTGCCTTCTCCTTCTTTGTGCCCATGCAAGAGAAGCTGTCTGTTGTCTGAATTTATCATACTTTCTGCAACTTTTACTTCATCTCCATGATAGGTAATTGTGTATGAGAAGCCGTTCTTTGAAGGGAGACATGTGGAAGTGGAATCAGAGGTCCTTACGCTTGATGACAAGGCATCAGAGGAGAAGGCGAGACTTCCGCTTTCATCAATAGGATCCATGAAAGTTCTAGGAGGGATGTAAGTGTGGGAGAACACTGGCAAGATTTCCCCTTCAGTTGAAGTAGTAACTCCACAGGCTGGAAACCACAGTGGACAAATTCAGTACCCATTTGTTTTCTTTGGTTTTCTAGTTTTGGGGTTTAGAAGTATGCCTCTATCAAATACGCAAATATTCACAGCAGACGGACAAATTGCATGCATCTCTATCTGCTCCATAACAGTGTGGCCTGGCAGTTGCCCATTTTCACATGCAGCCTCTGTTGTTGTTGTTTAGTTGGGTCGCTTACGAGAAACCTGGGTTTGAAGGCCATCAGTACCTGCTGGAGGAAGGAGAGTATCAGGATTGGACAGACTGGGGTGGCTACGATGAAGAGCTACAGTCACTGAGACCAATTGTTGGTGTAAGTTCCAAGAACATGTCTTAGTGAGTGCACCTGAGTACACTTGAGGTATCATGCTGAATTTTTCTTATGATGCTTCTCTTTGTTTTAATAGGACTTCACAAGTTCCCATATGATAATGTACAGTGAAAAAGACTTTGGATCAAAGGGTCCCAATATTAACGTGTTAGGAATTATTTCCAATTTGAAAGACACTGGATATGGGCTGAGGACACAGTCTATAAACGTGCTAAGTGGCGTGTAAGTGTTATTTTTAATTGCTGCTTAAAAGTGCTGTTCTTTTTAGAACTTGATAGTATTTGCAGATGTTTTTCAACACTGTGACTTCTAATGTCTGTGTGGAGTCTTCAGATATAATTTTCTGCCCTTAGCTGCGGAATGTGAAGAGTAAAACTTTTTGTGAATATGTACATTAAATTGGTTTTCTTTTGAGGATAAGATCAAGTCATCCAAGGAAACGTGGACTTAATGATACAGAAAATATGAAAGTATGAGAGTTTTCATCAGAGAGGTAGAAAGAGCCTATCTTTGTGTCTGTGTTTTTTTTTTTTTAAAGTGTTTCAACAGCAAAATTGTATAAAAGTAGTATCCAGGCTGTGTTTGACCAGAGGCAAATTCTTTGCTCTTTCTCCCAGTAGTGTGTAAAAATAGAAGTAACTGTGCTTACCAACGCATTCTGATATTAAGAAGACTTTAGCTGTTCTGGAAAGTAACATTGCTTTTGCAGTGATTCCTAGAGGTTAATAGTGTTTTAGTACTGTGGTGTTGTTTTTTATTGTTGGAAGTTTATTTTTTTTTCAACACAGCAGTTTCCAAAAATTAACAAAGGCCACTAACAACTTTTACTCTTTGTGCCATGTGTGACAACACATGCAGTTGAGAAGCTGACAGGCTTTGCTGTTTGATTTGTTCCGTGCATCAACTGCAGACTGTGTTTCACAGCTCTGCAGGCTGCATCAAAGTATTTTGGAACTACAAACAAATATTAGCAGTCGTGTCTCCAAATGTACAAGGTTACTTAAAGAAGTAGAATGGAGATTCTGAGCCGTACAGTCTCTCTCTCTGCCTGGAATGCAGGTGACTTGCTGACAGCTTTGCCTTACCCAGCCACACCCTAAATCTTACTCTGTGTTATCTGTGCAATATCTCTGCAAGTTTTGTCTGGATAAAGACTGCAGAGTCAAGCTCAGTTCGTTCCAGAGGAATGCTTTTAATTTGTATATGAATGTGGTGTGACAGCAGGGTTTTTTTTTCTGCCTGGTGACCTTTGAAGCCACTGTGCCCTTCCATCTTCTGTAACAGGGAAGGGAGATCCGTAGGAAAGAGTCACCTCTGAAGGCTGGGAAACAAATTGTGGTTTACCTATCATGCCCTTTGTGTAGTTGTTCCAGTAAATATGTCTTGCAGCTGAGATAGGAATCATACTTGAGTTTGAGTATTCTAGTAATTAAGAGTGACTCTAATACTCTGATGGAACAAGTGGCTAAAAGTCATTACAAACAAAACTGTTGTCCCACAGATTCTGCAGCTGTTCCTGTAGTGTCACCTTGTAGTCTCTTAAAGATGTAATTTTTAACAGTGAGCTTTTAAAAAATTTTGGTGCATAGTTCGTAACAGGTGGCTAGCACTCGGGCCTTAAGTCTTGAATAACCTTTTTTTTTTTTTATTTTCAAAGAGATTGTGAGTGTTTGGAGTTTTTGTGGTAGTGTTTTTACTAAATGTCAATGTGTCAGGTTGAACATTAAGCCGTGCTTGGTAATAAAGTGCGTTAAGTGTTAAGTAACTGTTCAGGTAGAAAATTTTTATATCTTTCCTTCCAAGAAATTGGTCACAGAGTGATGAATAATCCATTGAGCAATTTCCTGAGCTGTTTAGACTGTGATGTAGATGTCACAGTGAACTGTGACAGATTCAGTAAAAGCTTGTCAAAATATTTCAAAGTAACAGTCTTCGTATCGTGTTGAAAATACTTAATTTAAAACCAAAAATAGTCAAAAATGTAAGACACTCTGAACTTTTCATAGCAGTTTAACTACAGGTATCTGGAGTAAGCAGTTACAGCAGTAACAGGTGATCTGTATTTCCCACATGATTAATTTGATTGCTTTGTAATTTAAAGGGTATATCAGAGGAAAGAAAACCTGACACTGCAGTGTGCAGATACTACTGAACAAGTTCTAAGCTAAACTGTATGGGGAAGACAACTCAGCTCTGCATTTGGGGTGTGAATATTCTGTTTTGTGGTGACAGAGCACTAGTTGCATTAAAATTTTCAGCTACTGAGTTTCTGAAGAATGTTTCCAAGTGATACTTAAATGTCTTTGCTAAATACTTGTAAAGACATATATTTCCCTTCCCTCCCCCCTAAATATCACAAGTTGATGAGGACTGACTTCTTTAAAAATGAAACCTTTTTACTCTTGAGCATTTTTCAGAGACTGGCCAAGCATAAAATCCAGAATATTTTATTCTTCTGCCATTGAGGTGGGAGAAAGCAATCCAATAAACTGAAAACAGGAGAGACCTTTTTTTTTCTTTTACATAGGGTTTGATCTTTACTTCCAAATTGGCAGTTTTAAGTGGAGGAAAATGGAAGTATTTACTAGCAGCAGGTAACACCCTTTACAAGTTTAAGCAAGTACTAAAATCAACTTCTGTATGCTTTTGATTTCCTCTCTGCTGAAAAACTCTTCAAGCTTATATTTAACAGTAATCAAAGTCACAGGAATTGCATGTTTGAAATACGCCTTTTCTTTATCCATAAACAACAGATTTTTGCCAAAAATACTGAGAAAGCCCCTGTCCTGTAGCTAGTCCTTTATGAACTTGGTAGAAGAATTTTTCCAGATTTGTTATTTTTTTACACAGGCATTTGTTTTACTGTGGTCCCATAATCAGCCTGGTTTTCTCCTGATTTTCAAGTAATTAGTCCACAGTGCAGATTTGTCTGTTTCTAGTGTACCTATCGGTAGTGATATAGGGGAAATGATTAGGTTATGAGTAGTTCATATACAGGAGCCAGAATGTAGTAAATTTAATGTAGGTGCACTCGGGAAGGTAACGTGGGTGAAACTTGAAGAGACATGGGGTACAAGAACAAAGCAGTGGGAGCTGAAATGGGCAAGAGCCTTTGGGTATACCCATGGGAGAACACTTCAGACAAAGCTTCCAATTCCCTCCATCTCTGAACTCGACTGAACTGACATGCAAAGAAACCTTTCAGGGAGTCTTGCAGTTAACGTCCCCAGGTCCCTGGGATACTAGGAATCACAAGCTCTCAGCTAACATTAGAAAAAGCATACACAAGGAGCAATGGCCAGTGTTTTAAAAGATAAAGTCAGGGAAGATGAATCCTAGGCTAGCCATGGGCAAAGCTGATTTTTGGCAAGTTATCTGTATCTGGATTCTTTTCTTCCAGACTCCATTTGGGCCTCCCTAGGTAATTCCTAGACATCATCTGTAGGGAGGCTTTGGGGAAAGATACTGTGTGTATAACAGGACTAACAATATATAAGTGATGCTTTTCTCTACACCTTTGGTTCCAGGGGCATGAATAGCACAGAGGAGTGAAGGTCTCTAGCACCGCTCTGCCAGTATCCTGGGATGAGGCTGTTGCTCGGCAGTTTGTAAGGCTGGGGGTTACAACTCCCTCCCTGTGGGGCAGGGTTGTTGTCACCATGCTGCAGAGCAGTGCTTCAGTTGTTTGTGGTGCCTGGCAGCTGGTACATGACTCTCTGCTCAGATATGGAGGCGATGTCTTGCTCTCCAGGCCATTCTGTTAAGTGAGAAGCTGTTTTAAGGCAGCACACCTTCCTAGGGACAGTCTTGAGGTCTGACAGGTTTAGCTAGTACTGAATTCAGCTGCCTGTCCTTGATGCTGTTATTACTACTCTCAGCAGGTTCTATGGGCTTCTGAATGAAGTGGAGAAGCACAAGTAATTCACCAGTAAGCCCCGATTCTAGACACTCTCTAACTGTGTGGGCTGACTTGTGTGGAAGAGTGGTACTTACTTAAATCTCATTGGTTTCAACATAAAAGTGCAAGTGAGATCCATTGATTACTTCTGTATTCAGGGTTATCTTTAGATGAGAGAAATGAAATGCCTCCTAAGAATCTCTCGATAGCCGTTATTTGGCATGTTTTATCATTCATTTAATATCAGAAACACTTGTTTGCATAGATGTCAATCAAGTTAAACTGTCATGCACTGTAGTACCCCGGCATTTGTGCACTGAAAAGAATGTAATGAATGTCTGCTTGAAGAAATTGGTGACAGTACCTCATTTTCACAGCTTTTGGCATATGTAGAATATAGATGGACCTGAGACATTTGAACTGTCTGCTCAATTTATTGTGCATACCAGTGTCTCTTTGATGAAATAGTATGAGGTGATTTTGAAATGTGCCTTGAAATATGCCTGAAGTAATTAGTGCATAACAAGTTAGAATAATTGATTATATCTGAGGCAAACCAAGAGTTGTGAATAGTGGTAAATGTGTGAATCACTACATAAGTGTTTGCTATGGAAAAGGAATACAACATTCATGCTCTCAGCACATACGTCCTGATGAAGTTTAATTTGAATTTGAAGTTATCCCACTTCTTGTATGTGCAGAAGCCCTGGCATTCGTTTTTGGAATAAGTTTATTAGAATTCAGTTGCTTGACACATGTTTAGAAGGTGAGAGTTATCCTCCGATGCAAAGTTCCCTATCATTTCACAGCTTTATGATGAGAATCTTTTTGCTCCTGTCAAAACTCTAAGAAGACTGCACTGAAAGTGGATTTTGGCATAACCTGGCCTACAGTTGTTGGGCAATGCATTGGCTGAAGTTAAAAGCTGGTTGACTGTGAGTAGAAGATTGTCTTGTAGAACCAGGAACTAGCAAGATGTCCTGATCTCTGCATAAATATAATGAAAGAAATTATGATAATGAGGTATTACTGTGGCCAGTTCTAATATCAGCACTCAAAAAAACCCAACCAACCAACCAAAAAAGGATGAGTTTATAAAAGAAGCAGCATGTAATTATGTGAAAGTTTGGGAAGTCTAGCAGTGAAAGGGAACAGAAGTTACGCAGGTTATCACAAAACCAGAGGTAGTGCCCATGCAGTTGTGCACATGTTTTCTGGGCTCTCAGTATGGAGCCAGGGTTAGAAGAATGCTGTAATAGCAGATTTATGGAATGTAGTAGATTATGCATAGCATAAATAAAGCACCGCAGGGGTAATTTGAAGTTGGAGAGGTACATGCAGGGATTTGGTTGCTTTTCTAATACTTCAAGTGCGTATCTCAAAAAGTTCAATGTCTTTCAAAAAGTCACTTCTGATTGAGACAGAATTACGGGCTTGGTGCAGAGATCTGAGCTTGTGCCCTATGTCAGGCATGAAATCTGTCTGAGTAGTTGTAATAATGGCTTTTAATTTAAATACATTAATGTGGCCAAATTCGTGATGATTTTAATGCTTAACTTTCAAGGATGTTCTTCTTGCTGATGTCTGTGATTCCTAGCAGGGAAGAGCCCACTCTCATTAGCGTATGCCTGTTGTGGCAACTCAGCTTTCTGTTGGCAAGTGTGTTTGCTTAAACACAACTGAACTGTAGGTACAGACAGCATTAAAAATCAGCATTCCTGGCTTTATTGCCCAGATGACTCTGAAAGTTTGTTTTATGAAAAAAATTTATTCTGATATCTGTCTGGTTTTCTAGAGAGGAACTTGATCTAGATAAAATAACAGTTGTGAAACACTTCAAAATACTCTTACTAGAGACAGCTTTTAGGATATATAGCAGACAATTTAGTTGAACTTGTGATGTGCTTTAGCTAATTAAGTCCCATTCATATTGTCATAGTAAGGTGAATGGAAGTGAAATTTGTGTGGTTTTGGAGTATTGTGTAGGGTTTTAATAGCATTAGAGTTTGGCACTTGAGGGAGAAGTTTTTTATTTGTTCTTACATGAAGACACCAATGAATATACACAGCTGTATTTTGGAGAAGTAGTGTGACTTTCACCTATCACCCTCTTCTTCTGTCTCTCTTAGGTGGGTGGCTTATGAGAACCCTGAGTTTACAGGGGAGCAGTACATACTGTCTAAAGGGATGTATCCCAGCGCTGAGGCATGGGGGGGAAAGAATTGCAAAATATCTTCAGTTCAACCCATCATTATGGTAAGGAGTTAATTTTATACCTGTTTTGCAAGTTTCTCTGAAGTATTTGGAGCTATACTTTCTCTATCAGATTCAGTTTAATTACATTCTTTAAACAATAGCTGAGTAAACTTCTGTGGTTATATCATTGCTTAAAATACTTATTTTGTTTTGTTTTGTTTTTTTTTTTTTTCCCCTCCAACCTTTTGCAGGATATCGTTGGAAGCAAAAGGGGTAAAGTCAAGGTAAGATACTTAGTTAAGTGCGTGAAACATACTGTGTAGTGTCCATAGCATGCATAAGTGAAGAAATGGCTTTTTGGCCAGCGTAACACCCAGGTATACAGGGTTGACTAGTTGGGCAAAGAGTTGGCCTGCGGGTCGAGAACTGCAGATGAAGGAAGGCTGCTTTCCAAACCTCTGCAATGAGGCACATTAAGGTTCAGGGAAGGTGGGATTTAATACACAGTTGTCATCAGTACTTTTTCAGGGCACAGCCCGGTATTTTGGTTCAACAAGTGAGCTATTTTGGGCTATCAGTAATTATTCTGAGGAGCTGGAGTCTGCAGCCTTCTATGTGGAGGTGCAAATCCTTGGATTCTCTTGCTGAGGTGAGGGGTTTGCAAGTTAGGTGTTGTTCATAGTACAGCAGTGACTTAATTCCTTTTGAACCTACTTCTTTGGTTAACGGTTCTGCTGCTGGTGGTTGCATTTTAAGGGAATCTTGTTCTCTCACTAGTACTGCTGAGCTGTGTTTAAAAGTTAATATCTGTGTCAGTAACTAAGGTAAGGAAATGACAGGGAGAACTTGTCTGTTCGATGAGCTGACAGTTTTATGTTGGACTGTTGGCTATGCGCAAGTATTAATATATAGTTTCGACAGCGAAACTAATGGGCAGCTTTTTTTTTTCATTTTTTTTGTAATTCTGAATCTTTTCATGTTTGTCCTGGTACAAAGTTACTTTTATTTTGATGTCAGTCAAAATGATAATTATGTCATGTAACTAAAAACTAGGGAGAAAAGTCTTGCGGTCTCATTTTACTTCTTGATCAGTGGTGTGCCTCACTGGAATCTCCTGCATAGGCAGGAATATGGGGAATAAAAATCTCAAAGCTGCTTATTTTCAGCCAGGTGCATGAAAAATTATTTGCATCTATACATCATGTGCCTATTAAGACCTTATCCTAAGGAAGCAAAGAAGTAATGGCTTGTAGTCAACAGACTGCATCCCTCATCAGCATGTTCCTCTTTGGAGAACACTGTATGTGCCCACACTTGCAGCTCTCTGAAGAGTAAATACAGCTGGTAGGCATGTGATAATGTGAATGACTTCTGTGTGATCAGAGTTAATTATCCTCTAACCGAATTAGCAGGTTTGCTGCTTGAGTTTTGTTGGGTTGTTTTTTGGGTTTTTGTTGGTTTTGGGCTTTTTTAATAAGGACGAAACACTCTGGATAATGTATTCTCCCTTGCACTTGGAGCAGAGAAAGGCAAACTGATGTGAGTGTGACTATAGCTGTAACAGGCATACAAAACCTGTTTACCTCGGGAATGTATACCATGCCTGTTGGCACACTGTCTGAGTCCTTTGCCAAGATTATGCACCATTTCTGTTCTGAGAGACAGATAGTTTTAGTATTTATTGGTTGCTTGGTTTTTGTGAGAAGAGCATGTGTTTTGAAGGTTAAATGGATTAATAATCTAAAAACCTTTTATAGCCCTGTACTAAACATGTGCCTCTTCTGGCCATTCTGTGGGAATTTAAAATTCTTCTTCAGCAGATAGCCCACCAACACTTTGTTAGTGTTGTTTTAATTGTTTTGTGTGTTACTAAGTAATTTACATCCAGAAGTAATTTTTGGTATTATTACATTGCTGTCTTGAACAAGGACTGCAACACTGAAGAGGCAACAAAAAATGGATGTAACTGAGGTGGTTTAAGTCTGTTTTAAAATAAATACAAAAATAACAGTAGGGATGTGTTACTGAACATTGAAGAATTTATTTGTTTTAAATATGTTTAAACCTTTTTATAGGTCCAGTTATTTTCAGAGCCTGAATTCAAAGGTAACTGCCAAATATTTGAAAGAAGTGTGAGATGCATTGATTCATTTGCTGTGAAGTCTTCAAAAATTTTAGATGGCAGGTAAGCTATATTTAATGAATATTGCAAAATCACTAAAATGGTAGAAGTTTTAAAAAAGCAACCAGATTTCTAACACCTGAAGTAGTTTCCCTTAAGGGGACTTAAAAAGAGCAAAGCTTTGCAGTTTACACATTAATCTTTAGCTTGTCAGGACAAAACTTTGTAAGTGTTTTTTCCCACAGCTCTCGCTAAAGACTGAGACACTCTAGCATTCTGCTGCTTGCACAGATTTCTTAAGAGGCAATTCTTCTTCCTGCAGCTGCATAGTGTATGACCAGGAAGAATTCTCTGGTAACCAGTATGTGTTAGAAGAAGGAATCTATCCTGATCTGATGGCGATGGGTTGTTCACCCCAAGCAGTTCTGAGATCTTTACGGATTATAAGTACTGTAAGTAAAGCTATTAAACATATTGTAAAGATAAGTACACTGTTGACTCTGACCTTCCAGCAGTAAAAATACTGGGGACATACAGACTTCAGAGGAGCGTTTTCATGTTTTTGTTATTTTTCTTTGGTTGTTTTATTTCTTCCATGCAGTAGCATTTCAATGTTCTAACAGCAGTCAAGTTTTTGGGAGCTCTGTGCTGCTTTTGCAAATAAGAGCATTATAAAAGGATGTTGGTAAAAAGAGTCAAGGGTGTATCAGATTGGTTATTTCCCAGTAGAAGAGACTGCTTAGACTGAGTTGAGAAATGCTAGTAAGACACTGAAAAGTAGTATCTGTACTGCAGAGCTTGGGTTTTATGCATATTTAAAAAGCACACTTAAATAAGCAACTTTACATGAAATACATGTAATTATAAAACACTGTTGCTATCATCAGAGAAACAATGTGAGTTAATCACAAAATGATGCACCCTTCTAGATGAAGTAAAGCAACGCCCAGTGCCATTTGCCAAAATCAGACAATGTTGTTGTTGTGTGGTGTATGGAAACTGAACAACATTTACATATTTGTAACTCTGCAGTGGTGAGGAACGAGTTTGCTCAAGCCTATAACCAATCATTACAATGGATAACTTAGGGAATCTGCAAGTATCTTTTAAGATCTAAGTAATTACTAGCAAAATGTGGTCAAGAATCCAGGAACTTCTGGCAATATGAAGAGATGGTGCTCATTTTAAAAAAAAAAAAGGAGGAGTACACTATTGACTCCCTTCTTTGAATTTGGAAACTCTGTTGCACTCCACTGTAATTTTGGTAACCTGTCAGTGATGTAGCAGTTGACGAAGGAGAGCTAAAATGTGTCATCCTCTTTCATGTCTTTGGAGCATTTTGATGTGCAGTGTAAACAAACATCTGCAGCAAGTATGTCTGCTTTCTAAACTATTTGGCTGTCCAGTAGACAGATCCTATTGAAACAACAGAAGTGTTTCTAGCCACGCTTGGTGAGTGATCACCAGGAATTAAAATAGGTTCTTTTGCACATGCAAGTATTGAGTTCTTGGATCTGCAAGGATCAGCTTGCTTTTTGGAATATTTATTATTTGTGACAGAGTGTTGTGTTAAAACAGCCAAATGACAGTTCTGTATCTCTAAGTTCTTGTAACTTCATAAGCTTGTTCTAGCCCTGCGATTTGTCACACTTTGGACAGTAGCATGGAGCTGTGCCTGCAAGTCACGTGCTGCTGCTTCCTTCTTCAGAGGCTTACTACCTGCAGAGGAAGATGGGTTGCTTTGCTCAGCCATATATTAGCAAACAAGAATACAGAGAATAAGAAGTGAAGAGCAAATGATCACATTATAATGTTCATTTTTAATAATTTCACAAAAAATTGAAGCTTACTATTCTAGATACCAGTATCTGTTTTCACCGGTCAGATTTCTTTTCGGACTGTTTGATTTGGCAGTGCCAGTCTTAATTCCTCCCTACCATCTGCCATTCCCATAACTTTTCTCTCATGATTTTTCTGTGACATTGCTATACAAGAAGAACTTTTGCTGTTTTGCCACGTTATTGTACTTACCTAGTTTAACTTCTCTTTGCAGGGATCCATTTCTAAGGGACCATAAAAAAAGGAAATGAAAGGGTTATTTGATAAACTTGGAAGTGAGAGTTAAAAGGGCTTTTGTTCTTAAGCTTGAAGACTTTATTTTTTTATGCCAGTGTATCTTTGCTTGATTGAGCTTGCTTTGTATGCTCCATGTGGTTGTGCTGCAGATAGAAAATAGCCTTTTTCCTTCTTGAAGTTGCTACGTGTTCTTTTTCCTGAACATACTATAAAAACAACTGTGAATGTGGTTCAACAGTCAATAACTTTAACAGTCATGCTGCAATACTTTTTAATGAGCAACTCTGTGAAATAACTAAATGTAGATGTACAGGAGCACCAGCTTCATACAGTGCAGTACATGGCAAGTACTGAAGGAAGACTTGCGAGCTGATCTTGCACGTCTCTCTGTGTGGCATTTTATATAAACGTTGCTGCTGAATCTAAAAAATGCCCAGAGTGAAAGGTGTGGCAGAAAATTGGAGGATTTCCTTTTTTTCCTGTGTTTTCTTTCTAAGTAGATTATTTCTGAAGCATTGCGTATGGCTCAAGGGCTGCTGGCAGACCAGTTGCATGTCTCAGGTCTGTCAAAGGACTGAGGGGTGAGAGACGCTGGGATACAATCACAGTGCCGCTTTTCCTGTTGGGTTTTTTAGCTGTGATGACACATCGACATTCTAACTGGTGTTAACCTTTTGTGGTGGGAATGAGTGTAGTCTGATTTTGAAGCAAGCTGAAAGCTTCTCCTGGCATTTTCTGCAGCCAAGCAGCATGCACGCCATCAGGAAGCACAGCTCAGCTCCTGTGCAATAACCTGGACTGCTGTGGAGATAATGGTGACACTTGTGCAATGTTGTCATCCGGGCCCTTAAACATCAAAAGGAAGATTAAAGAGGAGTTTAAGCACTGTCTAGAAATCAGTAGACATGAGGTCTTGCCTAACAGAGTCGCTTGGAAGCACAGATATCCGCTGCCGTGCCTGCTCGGAGCCGCCTCTGCCTCCAAGGGCCTGGTTCCGTGCCTGAGGCCAGGTGGGAGTCTGTCAAGACCTGGTGTCATGTCAGGTGTTCCTGATCTAGTGGATGTGTTTTGGGCATGCTGAACCTATGCTGGCAGGAAGGAGCTCTTCGGGCTGTGGTGTTGGTTTTATGTAGTTGTTGCTGGAAGACATGCAAGAAAGGGAGTGGCAGGGTCATTTCTGTTTGAGTGTCAACTGCAACTCCAGGACACTTGGGCTTAATTGACTTTACCTTGAGGGATTTCAAACCCTTACGTGCCAGCTTCCAGGAGAAGGCCTTAATTGTGAGAGGTTTATTTCCAGTCCTCTACAGATACCTTGCCACATGGAAGAGCCCAGGGTTAGTTATCCAGAAGATGTTTAAAATGGATTCAGTGATGCAGGGAGCTTCATGTGGGGAAAATCCCTTTGACACCAGAAGTGCTTTGACAGAGGAAAAAGAATCATCTGCCCATGGCAATTTGGAGGATTCAGATGTTACAGTACTTGTTTGAGTCATGAGTTTCACCTCAGAAATATAAATCTTGAAGCTTTTGTCTAGTTGGAGATTAATGTTGCCATAACCTGCTGTAAGAGTTAAAAATGAGAGTAGTAAGCGATAAGCAGTGCTGACAAGGCTCTCATAATTTGAAGCTGTAGAAGTCCATTTTGTCTTACTATGTGTTCAGGTCTGAAGGTGAAAATGCCTACAATGAGTGGGGGTTTAGTGCATTACAGGAGGGAGATGGCATTAATTAAAAAAAAAAAAAAAAAGCCCACAAGAATCAACCACAGAGATATTTGTGTGTAACTTAAGGAAATTTTATGTTTCATGAAAGCAGATCATTTGTGTGTTTTGTGTAAGGGCTTTTTATTACTTGCTAAATTTCTTTTAAGTAACCTGTTGCAGAGCAAAAACATTATTCAAGGTCTTTGATCTTAAACAGTCAAGAGGAAACTTCTAAAATAAAAGGGCTGCATGGAGTTATGGTGTTCACAGCCACCATCAGGAGTTCCAACATCCTATAAAAGTGCTTCTCTTCCTTTTGCAGGAGCTGTCTGAGCCGTGCATAGCTCTTTATGAAAAGGTGGGTTTCCAGGGAAAGAAAATGGAATTCACTACAGAAATTTTAAATCTCCAGTTCCTGGGATACAATCCTCGAATAGCTTCGGTTCAAGTTCTTGGTGGCATGTAAGTTTAAAATCACTTATTGATTCTTTAGAATTATATGCTTATTCAGCAGAAAAGCTACAGGCACTAGAAGTCAGGGACTATAAAATTATGCACTGCAGCCATTGCAGTATTTTTAATGCAGTTTGTTCTTTACAGAACCTTTTCTCACCCTGTATCAACAACATCTTATCACTGACTGTTGCCATGTGCTAGAGGTTGAAATGAATTTGAATAAAGCTCCCAAGGAAACTCATGTCTTCTCTCATGCCATATTATAAAAGCTAGTTTGCACAGCATCATAAAACCAATCTCTGTGCTCTTGGTTTAGGTCTCAGTCATGAAAAAATCATTCCATTTGTGATCTGTGCCATAAGTGAAAAATGTTTTAACAAGTCTTCACATTCATCCTTTTACCTAGATGTTATGGATACAGTGGTACAGTCAGGTCATGATCTGGTCCTGTTTGGAATCAGTAAATTCTTTTTACTTCAGGGATTGCATCAGACTCTTGATTGTAAATCTAGCTGATAAATTCATTGGCCATTCTTAAGCAGTTGTGTTCTCAAATGTACTTTTGACAATGATGTAAAAAGTAGTCTGTGATGTCTTAAAACTGTCTGGAAGCATTTTAAAAACTACTGTGCTACCTTCTTCCAGTGTTCCAGCAGATCTGCTAAGTTTCTCTTTTTGTTTTTGCTGTTGTTAACCTCTAACTCCAAGACACTTGTCCCAAGTATATGGTCAAGTTTTTTCTAACTTCAAGAATGTGCCTTTTTATTAACTATAGATCCATATTACTGTTGCTTTGCATTTAAATGTGTTCTTTTGAAGATGTAAATTTCCAAGCTGTGTGCTAGAGAGATGTGGTTGGATAGCTTAAGACTGCCCTCAAGTGGATAGCTAATACCAGGTCTGTAGGGCAAACCGTATTCCCCACGTGGAAAAGCTGAGGGAAGGGTTTCCTTAGCCCACCGAGCTGAAGTTGGAAACATAAAGGTCATAAGAAAAGGTCTGTGCTCTGTATTCTTAAGTCTCCTGAGATTTCAGTATCTTTCACCATAACTACAACATAGTTGATTGTCACTTCTCATAACATGAAGTCAAACATCAAGTTGCATCTTTGCCAAGAACACTGTTGTGGTGATTGCAGGTAATGGAGTCTTGATTTGTCTGTGTTTCCTATCTGATGAGTATCCATCTTTCTGCTTGATCACTGGAAATGTATAGAGTGTGATAGGAAAATTCTAATTTCCTTATAGCAGCAACTGCTGCTGAAATGTGTCAAAACACAGGTTTCAGAGTGTCCTTGCCCCTACTGCCTCCCTTATTGAAGGAGTTTTTGTCTTTTCTTCCTTTGCTGAGACATCCATTTATAATTTTCTTAATTTCATGCCTGGGAATAGATGTGTATTAGTCTGTGGAAAAGCACCAAGATTAATCTGGGTGTGCTGCTTCTGGATATAGATGTCTACTGACCAGTCAGAGGAAGGGAGGTAGAAGAAGAAGAGTGTGCATATTGGGTGTTTATGTACTCAAAAGTCTATGGCTCTTGGACAGTCTCAGCAAATCGGTGTGATAAAACTCAGCAAATTGCACTATACTGCAGCCTATTTCAAAGCAGAGTTGTAATTCACTGTCCACACCAATAGTACAGAAACAGAAGTCAGGTTCTGATAGATTACTCTCAATGTCATTGTAAACATCGTTGGATAGGGAATGCTAAACAAAATCTCTCTATATGCTTTTTCTATCTCTCTTTCTCTCTCTCTTTTTTCTTTTTTTCCTTTTCAGATATTTAGAAAGAAGAAAGGTGTTCTGAAATAAAACCTCTATCAAAATACCCTAGAGAACTTCACCCTTTTGCAGTTCCAGTATTTGTTGCTTTCTGCGTCCTTAGTAGTTCTTCCCCACATAGGTCAAGCCTGTCCAAATTAACGTACACAGAACTACTGGTTCTCCATATGCACTATCTAGCGTATGCAGCCTGTGCAGTGTATGCATATATCCTCCTTGAGAAGTCATGGTACCTCCTGAAAGAAGATGACATTTAAAAGTTGGGTTCTCCCTTTAAGGCAAGAAAATGCTTTATTTCATTCACCTTGGAATTTTTAAATAACAGGACCTTAAAATGTGAACTCCAGTGTACTCTTAATGCGGCTGATCTAAATCAGAATGTGGCTTTATTGTTTTTGAAGACCTGTTAAAAAGAAGGTTGTTGGCTTTCCATAGCTAAACACTACTACTTTGTGGGACAGATTTCTCTTATACCTGTTTATTGATTCTAAAGCAGTATTTGGCAGTAAAAGCAACCTGTCTTTTTTTTTCCTCTCATAGATGGGTAATTTTTGAGCACAGTAACTACAGAGGGCGTCAGATGTTGTTATCACCGAATGAAATTGCAGATTGGTATAAAGTGAGTGGCTATTGTCAGATAGGTTCTCTGAGACCTTTGCTGCAGGTGAGTAGCCTCTGACATGAGATGGTCAAACAATAGTTTATATTTTATAATGGGCTTGGGGGGATACTACACAGCTGAAAGCGATCTTACAGTCTTGATGTGTCTCAAGCTTCAACAATGGCAGCTGCATACACTTGAGTTTTGGTTGTAATAAAAGCTGTTTGATTATGCTGTGTGGCTTTGCAGTTCTGCTGCTTAAACTGTTCATTAAGTATATACTTTAAAGCAAAGTATTGAAGACAGCATATAAGGATTTGCTAAATTATTTTAATAAATAATGTCTGTAACTACTGTATGTAAATTATTTTAAGTTGTTTTATAATTAGCAACCAAACTGGTCACTGGTTGTACTATCTGCATTATTTTTGGAACAACAAGAAAATTGGATGCTTCAATTAGTAGTGATTTTGTGTTGATTCGGGGGAGGGGGGAAGGTCCTTCCCTGCTTATTATTTGGCAGAATCATTTGCAAATCTAATGCAAAACTTATTCTCACGGTGTCCTTTTTATTTTGTTCTATAAATAAGGACCGTGTGATTTGGTCCAGTGCTGCAGCCAGCAGACCTGTAAGCTTTAACATTAGAGGTAGTTGCTGAGCCAGTTTATGGAGGAAGCATCTTTTTCTAATTCCCAGATTGCTGATACCTGCGACCAAGCGTCTTTGCTCGCCGTCCTAGCGGTGTCTTTGCACGGCCTCGGGCAGGGCTGGGAGTCCCGCGTCTGTCTGCCCTGGCTGAGGCTTTGTCCAAGCAGGCATGTCAACCTGCACGAAGCCATAGCGAGGATGTGCAGCACAATACCTGCTGCCAGTGAAACGGGCAGCACTGCACCAGTGCACCCTTAGTGCAAGTTAAGAACGTAATAATACAAGAAGTCAGCAGAGAGAAGTTAGTGCTGCTCTCAAATAAAAATTCTTAGCTTTCTACCACGTGCTGGTCTCAGTTCATAGGAAAACCTAAAACTCTCCATCCAGTGGCAGATTCTCAAAGCTTGGCTTGTCCTAGACATTTGTGGACTTAAGTCTAAAGTTCTCAAATAGAGAAACTGAGCTTTCTGAAAGGAAGGGGGGCACGGGGTTCAGCACTAAACAGCAATCCTGCTCTGGTTAACTTCAGAGCAATGTGTTCTGTGTTGGGCCTGGCTAACAAGTGCTGCTGTTTCCCACAGAAACGCGTGTACTTCAGGCTTCGCAACAAGGAGACAGGAAAATTCATGTCAGCTGATGGAACCTTAGACAATCTGACTCTTATCAGAATACAGGTTGCAGAAGATGCAGACTCTGATGATCAAATATGGGTTTATCAGGATGGATTAATAAAGTGCCAGGTGAGGTTCAAGTTCAATGTGCGTTTTCTCTTTCTGTCTCTAATAGCAGGGTTTTCTGAACTCATTTCCTACTGCATCATCTTAATTTATTTCATAAGCTTATTCTGTTTCAGCTGTAATATATCCTTCTTGCATTTTGGGATTTGCGGGTTTTTTGGATTTCTTTGTTTGTTTTTTTTTTTTTTTTAATTGAACTCTGGCTTTTTCACGTGATAAAAAAGAGTATCATAAAACTAGTTTACATTAAATTGAAATTTTGAGGTTTTAGTTATAATTTACTTTCCCCTTAAAGAGTAGTAGCCTCACCATACAACCAACACCTGAAGATCATTGCCTTGCTCTTCATGAGCCTCCTTCATGCCCTCTTTCTGCACAGTGAAAATATCACAAGTGTCAAAGGCAGAGGAGACCTTGTAAAATGCAGATGCTTCCTGACAATATTTTGAACTCTGCATACCTTGTCGTAGGTCTGCTGGTGTAATGCAGGCTGTATCCTCTTCTGCATTTAGGCTAGCGTAAAGATAAAATCCTGCTCTTCGGGGTTTTGGGGTTTTGTTTGTTTGTTTTCTGACGATCCCTGTATTTGTCAAATTCATCCCTCTTCCGTTCCTCTCTACAAGTTACCAAATGAAGTCCTCCTTTTCTCATAGTCCATAAAACTAATGATGTGCCAATTTTCACTGAGGTGAGCAGAGGTATGCACAGTTCATAATGTTTAAGCATGAACAGTCTTAGGCAGGGAAAGACAGCCAAAGAAAATTAAGTTACTTTAATAATGCTAAGTAGCTTGACTGCACAGAATCATGTGAACTTTTTCTATAGGATTGTATAACTTCAAAGAAGCCATTTATAACTATGTCATCTGTGCTGGAGGGAAGAATCTTACTGTTAATAAGCTAAGGCATTGTTTGGACATGTTTACAGGGCAGCAGTAAAAGAGATTTATGCAGCCAGCAAAATGGCGCAAATTAAGCTAAAACTTCTAATGTAGAATACAGAAATTTTCTCTTTTGACAGTGCCTCTCAAACATGACACTGAAAGTATTCATATCAACACGGTGTGGTCTTATATGGCTTTGGGTAAATGCTCTTGGTTTTTGTCCCCGTCCCTGTCTCACAAAGCATTTTGCCTGTGCATAGAAAATACACGGCTCACGCTGCACAGCAGTCAGGTCACTTAGTTGCAGAGTGCAAGCTGGCAACATGGATCTTCAGGGAGTGAGCTCTTACAGAGCTCTGACACCTCCCTGTTGAATGAAAGTAGATGTATTTTGCACAAAAAGAAAAGGTCTTCACCATATTTTAAAGAGAAAATGAAGCACGTGAGTGGGTGGATCATTGGAAGAAGTCATGCCCATCTTCCTGTAAATTTAGGCCATCTGTCTGACAGAGTCACGGTACCTTGAGGTATGCCTGAGGTTTTCAGGGAAGAGCTGCTTTAAGTGGATGGGATAATCAGGAAGCAGGATGTGGAAGTCATTCTGCTCATTTTGTCAGAAACAGATGTGAACAGCAGGTACGAATTCAGGTCTCCACACTCTTCATTAAGAGTTTCTTGGAGATGGATGAAGTCATGGCCTAGTGGAACTAATGTGTAAGCTCTGAGTCTTCTAACTCCCACTAGAGAACATTTTGCATACAGATGAGAATTTCAGAACTGCTGAACTAAGTTGACTTACTTCAGTTTATCAGTAAGAAGTACTACTTTTTGAAAACCGTGTATTTAATACTTTAGGGCCATATCAACAATGCCAGATGGGTGTTTGTTTAATCGGTCGCTGAAGTCCATTCAGAATTTACAAGTTGGCTTGTGCTGATCTATTGAAAATCACTGTTCACACAGAAAAATGAACTGTAATGTACTACTAATACAGCCTGAATACTCTTTTCAAAGAAGCTTGATTTTTTTTTTGCCAGTTCTTTTTTTAACCATCTGCAGAGTTTTGAAACCAAGTAATACAAATTATTAGGAAAAGAATATAGAACAAAGAAGAAAACATTACTGTAATACACTGTGAAATTCATACACTTGGTGCTGTGCAGTTACGTCCGTTATCTTAAAAGGTTATTGCAGAACTAGAAACAATTAAAGAACAAAAAAAGATCTGCAGAGGAGATGGAGGGCTCCTATGCAAGGATGCAAGGAAGAGAGTAAATAGATGGGATATTTTCCCCTTGCAAAGGGTGAAATTTGGGGGATGAGATGACTTGAAGTCTCTGCAAACATAGCATGGACAAGCCATCCCTTTGAGTAAGAGAGGGGAAGGGATAAAAAGAGCATAAAACAAAACTAGTAGTTGCCTATCTTTTTTTTTTTTTTTTTTTTTTTTTTTTTTTTAATACAAGTAGTTAACGTTTGGAACTGCTTGCCACAGAAGAGTTATGATACAGAAGGGCGTTACATTAATCTCGGGGGGTAGTGACTACCAAATTCACCTATGGGACAGGAACGGTGGGAGTATTAAAGGTCCCAGCTCTGCATGGAAAAGTCTCTGGGCTGGAAATTGCTGTAGACTGGGAGAGTTCACCAGGAACATACTGCATCCAAGAGCAGAGTGAATGTAATCTTCCATGACGTCTGTTATTGTCCACTGCTGGAGGCAGGTGCTAACTGTACCTTCTGATCTGATACAGCATGCTTATATTAATGTTTTTCTGTAGCAGAAAGTATCAGCAGAAAGAAGAACAAAAATAAGTAGTCTTGAGTTTGGGGGAAAAAAATACCTTCATTTAGAAAAAGTGGTTCCTAGATTCTGTTCTCATCTGCTTAAAAAACAGTGGATACTAGAAGTAAAGCTGCTGTGACTAATTGCTGTTGCCTTTCTGGTGGTACAGATGGCAGAGGATTGCTGCTTGACGATTGTTGGAAATCTTATAACTCCTGGCTCTAAACTCGGCCTGTCATTTGAGCGGAATGAAGACAAACAATATTGGCATATTAGTCCCGACGGCAGGATTTATAGCAAGATGAAACCCAAGCTGGTTTTAGATATCAAAGGTAAGCAAATGTGTTATCTCATTACATTGTGTCTTAATCACATGGTATTTACAGTGGGATAAGCACTAAACGTGCCTATAAATTAAGGCTGGTGTTATAGTTACTTTAATCTAGAATCAAAAAGGACATGATTAGCTAGTCTGACCTCCTGAATTATACAGGCCCTAGGACTTCATTCCATTTTTCCTACACAGAGTTTAGTAACTCACAGTACTTGCTTATCTTGTAGTCCCAGTGTCCACTCACTGTAGATATCCCCAGTTAATTTTAGGTGGCACTGGGTGATGTGAATTTAATTATTTAAAATGCTGAAGCAAGAAAAAGCTAGCTTCTCATTAACTTTAATATGTATAGAGCAAATTTTCTTATATAGTAGTTGTAGATGGCAACCGCCAAAGGATATTAGGAAAGCAAGGGCAGGCTGGTCTGCTGATGTGATTAGATGCAAGAAGTTTTCCCATTTGTTTATTAATGGTTGTACCTTTATTGCAAACATGAGATTCTGCCATAGCAGCCTAAGGTCTGTGCACACTTGATGCGTGTTTTACAGCCACTTCTGTCACAGCCGTTGGACTCATGGAGATGCTTTTTCTGAACTTCGGTTTCTTAGTTTTGTAGAAAGTCTGAAAAATCAACAAATGGAATGATTAGCAGAATTGGCATGATCAGATGTTCTCAAATAACTGCATTTACAGGTGGGGGGAGTAATCATTTTCTGTAGCTGTTAATATTTTTAGCTGTTTTAAAATTAATTTGGCATGGATGCTGTGACATTAAGGACAACAATCATAAACACAGTAACAAACAAGCAAACAAAACAAAACCAGAGTGAACAGTCAGCACTTTCAAACTAAAAAGGACAGGGCTATTAGAACAGTGAGAAAGGATCATCTAATGTCTGTAATACAACACTAGCACAAATAGTCACATATTCTCTTTACTCTCATAAAAAGCTAGTGATGATCAATTATAAACCTATCACGAAGCCTCCAGTTCAAGGGAGAGTCTTTAGTCACAGTGGCACTGCACCCTTTTTTCTGAACCCAGTTCCAAGTTGCACCAAACAAGCAGAAATTTTATTATGTTGCCTTGTCTTCAGTTAATCATGTTAAAAGCAATTTTGTGTTCTACATCTATAATCAAAGAACTTCACAGTGGATAGGTCTGGTGATGAAAGTATATTTGCACTCTTACTTAAAAAAAAAAAAAAAAGTGAATCTGTACAGTAAATGTGAAAGAGTAGGTATATTTAGGTTTGAGAAAGCCCATTAGGAACGTGACCCGTTTCTGCCCGTTCTGCCGGTCCATTCTTGACCTCAAATTGGGCATTAATGAATTCTTCAGCAAAGGAATCAGTTGTTAGCTGTGCGGCTACCAATGCCCCCTGGTGGATACACCGGCGTGGCACAAAGCCGTGTCCAGAGCACCGCGCTAGCGAAGCTCATTGTCCCTTGGACAAAACCACACCAAAACAAAACAAAAAAACAAACAAACACAAAAAAAAAAAAAAAAAAAACCTACCTCAACACCCAAACCCGCCTTTTTTTCCCATCATTACATGTTTACATTCTGTCAAGACACCACTTGCGAAATACTTCTGTGCTTGCAGTAACTGAGCTGTGTGGCTAATATTTTTGGTAACAGCTGGTTAGAGGTTTTTTTTTTCTTGTGGGAGTATTTGATGAAGGTATTATCTTCATTTTGCCCTCTTCCTGAAGAACTTCACAAGTATTTGTGCTGTCTGTTTGCTGTATGCTTTTTAGTATTTGCTGGATGATGGCAAAGAGGGAAATGGTGTTGATGTTGATCAGATCTTTCTGATTTGGGACAGTGGCACTAGAAAGCATCCCCCAAACTCTTGAAGTGGAAAACGGCTAAGCTGCTCAAAAAGGCATTTCTGTAAGGCCCTCTGAAATGTGCCAGCCTGTGCAAGACGCCAGGTGCCTAGCGTATTTCTTTCCGAGATCTGCTAGAATCCGTGTTTTGGTTTTGTTACACTCATGCCAAGCTTTCAGCTGCCAGGCTTCTCTTCTGCTCACTCGAGGAGGGTGAGGCTGTCGGGGTGCAGAATGCCAGGCAGTGTCCATAGGAGTGCCCTGGCGCTCTGTAGAAGCGGTTGGCTCAGATGGCTGCTTCCAGTAGGAACACTGCCTGCCAAGGCCGCTGTGCTGCACTCCGTGATGTGGGTGCACGTGTCCTGCACCTGTGCAGCGTGTACTGGAGCTGAGAGGAAAATGTCACTTCTGACTTCTAGCTCCAGTCAAATGTTTCTTTGCTTCTGAGTGTAAGTCAGAACACTATGGTGCCCTTCTGTGGGAACAGGTTTAGCATTGCTTCACGTGAGGACCTTAAAGGCCCTCTGGGAAAGGGTTGTATCTTGTGTTCAGGTATGTTCAGCTGCCACTGGAGACAGCTAGGCATTGGGTGATGTTCTGTGTGGTGACTTGGGATGCAGGATTGCGATGGTGAGGGAGTGAGCAGGTTCCAGACCTTGTCCCTGTTGTGGTCACCCCCCTATTGTTTGTTAGCAGCAGGACTTATTTCATTGGGTAAACATCATCTTTAGAGTGGTGACAGCTGACAGCTGTTGAGGAGAAAGCCATGTGTGACTGCTGGTAAGTGACAGTCCTATAAGAGCTACACCATGACTGTATTGCAGTGTTTCCTTCCTTTCCCATCCAGGCTGGAAAAGCCACGGTACTGAATTGCTGAAGGGGTGGAGAGGGGCAGGCAGGCTCCTTTGTTCCAAAATGAATTCCAAAAGCAGGCGGTGATGAAAATGAGTTTCCCTTTTCAGTGCCCTGGGGAGAAAAGAAATTGTCTACACCAGCACTTATTAGAGTTGCCCTGAAACTGGGAGTACGTGTCTCTTATATCAAGGATAACCTACATACACGCTGCCATCTCTCTTCGCAGGGGGCACACAATATGATTGTGACCATGTTGTTGTCAACGCGGTGAACGAAGAAAAGTTATCGCAGTGTTGGGAGCCACTAGTTGTGTAAACCCAAGTGAGCAAAGATGACGTTTGAATGGGCTGCTGTTCCAGACGCTAGGATTGGCACTGCCATCTCTGGAGGACACAGGATCAACAACCAGAGTTTTGTCTTCTCCTTGCAATTTTAAAAAGAACAAGCAACAGAATGATTTCACCTCTAAGATTATTATCCCTAGAAAAGCTTCAGTATCTAATTTTATTTAATCTTTCACAACTCCACGTGACAGAGAGAGTGGTAGTATGCCTCAGGCTGGAGTGGAAGAGACCCCAGAGAGTTACAGCTGTGTCAGCAAGTAGTTAATCCAGAATAATCAAGCATAATTTTAAATTATTTTTAAAAGTTGAGGTTTTTTTTAATGGAGAGAAGGGCTAAAAAATAGCAAAAGCTTATTTGGTAAAGGACAGGAAAGCAGTGTATATGTGGGTATAGTAGCCTGGACCTACACAGAAATATTCACTACTGGAAATTAATATATTTGTTTCATGGGAACAAACTTACATTTACTGAAAGTTTAAAGGCTGCTAGCATACAGCACATCCAAAGAACTTTGAACTTGTGGCCTCAAGTATAGTTAGTATGCTAACATAGTAAGTCCTAAATTAAGAAAAAATTCTAGATTTTCTGATGTAGCAATGATGTAAATTAGTAGATGTTTGTTAGAAAGAGAGGGCTGGCAAAAGGATGCATTGGAATGTTGAAGAACTTGCCCATTTTCTAGGCTGCCTAACTTTTTGAGTTATGGGTATTTTACTTCTTTGCCAGGTCAAATTTTTACTTTTTTTAAAACAGTTCCAATAAGTGTAGTCTTCCTGAACTCAAAAATCATACAGAAAACCAGGATTCTTAGGCAAAGTATCACTAAAGATGACTGCAACAGCACCTGAGCGCTGCGGTTACTCAGTTTTCAGCCACTGCCTGTTGGGCTTACCGTGGAGAATGAGGCTCCCAAGTACTTCTGGTGATGTTGGAGAGCAATGTCTGGGGAGGGCTGCTGGATCCCAGCTGCTGTTGGGCAGAAGCACCGGGCTGCTGCAGCCAGGGGCACAGCCAAGCGTGCAGAGGAGCCTGTGCCCGGTCACAGGGGCTGTGCCCATTGAAAGTCAGCGTAACTGGTTTAGTAAAGAGCTTGTGAGACGTGCAGACATACCCATGACTGCAGGAGGTTCTTCTGTTGCCCTGCTCTTAACCTGGTTTTGTTAGTTTTCCTTAATAATGTTGACAGAAAGGTAAAATAAAGTCTTGTACTATGCTGCTGTGTTTTGTCCTGGTTGAGACCAGTGTTATTACAAGCTGCTCCTAGGAGCACCCAGGCCTTTGTCTTGCATAGTAAGTCTGTTGAACACGTTCATTACTATTGTATTGCCTCAAAGGATACTGGTGCTTTTACTGGCACCACTCTAGAGGAGATGCCTTACTAATTTGCCTCTGATTGTACAGACCTACAGAAGTTTTGTTGCTCAGAAAGGTGCTGCGTTTAGTTCTTCATAGAAAATGTGTTGTTACTGGTTCCAAAAAGTGGTACTTTGTCATATTGATGTGCCCCTGCTACGTATAATATAGCATTTTACAAATAAATTTAAGTTGGGCAACTTCATATTGAAATTATTTTTGAAGGTAGAAGGTTGCCATTTTACAGTTAGTTATCCTTCTGTCTTGTGCATAATTGCTGTGTGACAATTGACTAATGAGGAGGGAACACGTGGCCCAGAGGCTCTGAGGAATGGATGCATCTCCTGTACAAGCCCATGCTCAGTGCACTTACACGTGGGGCCACAGTACACATGGGTGCTGCTTCTGTCCCCTGGTGGAAACAAGCACTGCATGACAGGCTTTTCCATCACTGGAGCTGCACCACAGTACACGTACAGCTCTCAAGTAAGAGGTTACCACTTTTATTTGATCTACCTGCAGAAATGCAGGGGAAGTCACTCCCTAGCCCATCTCTGGCAAAATGGTACATTAAAGACAGACCAACGGACACGTAACCCCTCAGGCACCACACCCCCAGCAGCAGTGACAGGGGCCACAGCAGGAACAGGGTCTCCTGATTACTGACTAAATCACATCCAGCCTACCTCCATAAACACTGTAGTCAGATGAGTCTGTGCCAGGAGTCAGGCAATTACAATAATTAGCAGTTAGAGGTTGATTTTGTTCCATGCTTGTGCTCAGATTAGTTATGCCCTGTCAAAATTGAAGTACCAGTCTTGAGACAGCAGTCTGGCCACTTCATACAGGAAAAGTTCACACGTTCTGAGAATGAATGATACTGAGTAATATTGTGTACTACTAAAGTTGAACAGAACTAGGAAAGGCCAAAGAAAGAAAGGGCAGCACAAGTTTCTTACGGACAATTAGGTAAGTGTGCCCCACTTAGCTAAAATGTATGGAAAGTGAAAGCCCCAAGATCTACAAACCAAAAATGCTGCCAACTGCGAATGAGGATGTAAGTCACAATGTGGTTTCCATGTAGAAATACCTAAGGGGAGAGAAGCATTTCCTGTCTGTGTATTAAGTTATTAACAGGCACAATATGAAGGAATCAAAGAGGCTTTCCTGAAACAAAACTTTAAAAAAGAATGATGCATTTGTGTGAGCTTTTGAGGAAAAAGTGGTTGCTATGTATCAGTTCCTGTTCAAGTGTAATTTACCAGTGAAGTACTGACTGCCAGCAGAATAATGATTAGAGATACTTTATTTTTTACTAACTACATTGATCACTGTTTTTCCCCGTGCATGTCCTCCTTCCAATTTCAGAAAGGCCTTTGGAACTTCAGAAAATGAGAAGACTTCATCAATTACTGGTTGAATCTACAAAATAAAGAAAAAGTTTATCACCATAACATTTCAAAACTGTATGAAGACAGGGTTGAGGTTTTTTTCTTTTTAACAGTATTTAGGGCAAGAGTTGCCTAGTGATGCAGTCACTAGCTTTTAACTTTTTTCAGGGACCCTTCCCTCTCTGTGCACAAGGTGTTCTGCTGCTCTTTGCCCAAGTTTTGAAACCTCTTTACTAGCATAGTTTGGAGCTCTCACTTAGGACTCTTCACAATAAAGTCACAGCACAGGGCTCTAGCTTCTAAGTCTATAATGCGGTTCAACCTTTTTTTGTCCACAATGATTCACTGAGGAAAAAGAGAAGTAAAAGGAAAAAAATTTTCTTCCACTGAGAAAAAAGGTCAGATGTTGCAAAGATACCCATGCATCTAGTGTCTACGTGCATCAGTACATGGCTCAGTACCCTTAAAAGACTTGGCCACCAATAGAGTATAAAAGAAAGCCCACAAGTATCTGTTGCTGAGTCATTTAGATACACTTGAAAACCCAGCCACTGTATGTTCCAACAGGCATACATCATTAAACCCAGCTTGCATTGACTGCTATTCTGGCATTAATTTTGTAGAGTAGTCTCCTGGATTGTTTAAGACTCATTTCTTAATAACAGAGGTGAAATTAGCTTATTCGCTGTTCCCATTAACTAAGGAGCCTGAAAACCCTCTGAGCATTTTATTTAGATGTCCTAGTGTACTGACAGAGGCAGAGAAATCCCAGCTGCTTCTGAAAAATACTTGGTCCAACAGAATCTGTGTACAGCAGTGACAACAGAACCTACCTACCCTGGAGGTTGGTCTTACCTTGTGTCCCCTAACACCAGCCCAATACATGTTCTCGCACTGATGAACTGATCCTAATCATCTTGCCAGAGAAATACATGAACAGTAGATGAGTCTGAAGCTAGCTCTTGCCATGAAGTTTCTATTTACTGTGCTAGAAAAAGACCATTGTTACTTGTGGCAGTGAAAAATATCTTCAGGATTTTTCCTCACAGCTACTAGCATGCACACTGCCTTGTTGAATACTCTAGAACTGGTAACTGCCCTCTCCTGTTAGGACATGAATCTTACTAAATAGAAGGGGAACAACAGCAACAGGGACACAAGGAATTTGCCAGGATCAGCCCAGTGCTGTCTTTCAAAAGGCTTGCTCACTTTCACCAGAGGGCAAGTGGGGTGTGCACTCATTCATACTGCTTAGAAGGTAACCATGCAGCTCTGCTGAGGAAACCAAGCTCTGTTCCTTTCATTCACACATTTTCCAAGGAGCAGCACTGACCACCCAGCATCCTCCTAAGAACACAATAAATGCAGCATCTGATACTCATCTGTACTCATGTAGGTCCTTTTCTCAACTCTCTTGCTTTTTTTCCTTTATTCATACACAGTGCCTTACCTTTGAGTCTATTCATTGCACTAAAATAACTACTGGTTTTGCTTTGATGCTGATGGTTATCCCAAGGCATTGGTAATCTATTACATTGCAGTATCTACTAATCTTGTCACTAGATTTGCCTTTTTTTTTTTTGGTCAAGGCTTGTTTAGCAGTAGTGGGAAAGTGTACATGACAGAAAAGTAGGAATGAGTGAATCCCCCCTGAAGCAGCCAAATCACTATGAGAACAACGCTGCAAACATATTCACTAAGTGCCTGAAATTTGCCATGCTGCAGTTTCTTTCCCCTGTTCTGCCAGGACAATCTCTGTAAACAAACCTCTAGTAAAGTGAGTAGTAACAGCAGAGAAGCCATAAAGATACTGTATAGCACTTTCTTCTGCTCAACTTGGGGAAGAAACGGGAGGCATGAACAATCAAAACAAAACTGTATTTGGTCAGCATCCAGCACAGAGTGGAAATGTTGTTTCGGGCATCAGCAGTCAGGGACACGGACCGAGGGCGGCAAAAACCACGAGACAATGGCTTTGGGTAAACTGAGCATCTGAGTAAACAGCAGCTGCTGTGACAATCGGCAGGAGGAACGTGCTGCTGATCAGTCGTGACTGTTTTGAGGAACACCAGCCCTTGCTTTCATAGCAGAAGCCTGGGAAAAAATTCAGTAACCCTGTCAAGCCAAGCACCAGTGCAGCACTTGCACAAGAAGTTATTGTTAATGGCGGTTACGTACAGTGCTTCAGTTCAGAAAAAAAAAAAATACGGAAACTCAGCCTGCTGG